ATAACATCTATAAAATTTATTTTACTGTGTCTTGTTGAATACTTACTACTTTACTTTCGCCTGTTACCCCCAATGGAGCATAGGCCGCTCACCAGTTTTCTCCAACCAACTCTGTCCTGGGCTTCCCTTTCCAGTTCTGTCCAATGTTTATTCATTCCTCTCTATTTCTCGGCATAATGTGTTCCTTGGCCTTCCCCTTTTCCCTTGACCTTGACGGTTTCATGTGAGGGCTTGTCTTGCGACGCAGTTAGGTGCTTTTCGCAGAGTGTGTCCTATCCACTTCAATCACTTCGTCCTGTTTTCCTCCTCCACTGGTTTGTTCTCTCACACAGTAAGTTGTTGCTGATGGTGTCTGGCTAACGAATTCGAAGTATTTTGCGATGACGACTGTTCATAAATACTTGTATCTTGTGGATGATGGCTTTCGTAGTTGTCCAAGTTTCCGCTCCATACAGTAGAATTGTCTTGACATTTGTATTGAAAATCCTGATTTTGGTTTTGGTTGAAAGTTGTTTGGAGTTCCAGATATTTTTCAATTGTAGAAATGCAGTCCTTGCTTTACCAACCCGCGCCCTCACATCTGCATCGAATCCATCTTGGTTGTCGATGACGTGTCTTGTTGAAAGGTCCGACATAAACAAATTTTTTGATGTATGATATGCTCAAACTATTACGATTTCACCTAAGTCGGTAAGCGAGAGCTAAGACAAATGATCAATTGACACGATAGGCTACTCTAATCTGACCGTCCCAAGCCCCCAATAACAGTAACAAAAGCTCCTGATATGGCGTACAAACTCCCAGAAAATATAAGGTTTTGTACAGAAGAAGAGGAGCATAAAACTTCATAAACAATGCATATTGATACATTTAGGTCGACCGTGAATATTAACCTATAGGAAGCCACATTTAAAATTATGTGAACTTGATAGTTTAGGACGAGCCTAAATATTGACCAATAGAATTAGACCCACAAAATAATTTCCTTAGGATATTTGATGAATATCCTAACTTAATATTTACGGGTACTGAAAAATATACGCCTAGGATTTGATCATAACCTAATACAAAGAAGCCGGATATATGCTGATGAAATTTAACAGTTTAAGTTTTATAGTTTCTTTAAATAAAGTGAGATGTATAAAGCGAGTGCTCTATAATTCATTGAATATTTTGTATGTTTCTCTCTTCTGAAGTCTATTTTGTTGTAGTTTGAAACTAAATATAGTGAAAAATAATCATTTAAAACAAAATAATTATTCCGGAAATTCTATCCAATCAATTGTATTATTTTAAACAAAAATATTCTCAAGTAATTGTTTATTAAGCAAAATTTCAACTGACTTAAATCAGTAAGGGTAATTAATATAAAGGAATTGAGTAAAATCGATTCTGTTGCATGGATAAAAAACAGCTTATAATTGTTAACAAATATTACTGTGAGCGAGGTGTTAATATAATTCTGAATCCGCTGATATAAATTTGTATGATAATAATAGCCAGACAAAACACTTGATTCCCGATCAATACATTTGCTAAAAGCTTATATGATACATGATTCGCGATTATCAATTGAGAATCAGATTGTAGAACGGGCTATTAGATTTATTAACACCAATAGAAGCAGCCACATACACAGTTAAACTCATGGTAGAAATCTGTACAGCAGTTCAACAAAATATATCAGCAACTGACAAAACTAAATATCTGTTTGTCTTCGCTCACTTGTTAAATACATTTTACTATGACTGATCATGTATTAGCTTGCTTATTGCTTTCTAATTAGCGTTTCGTGTTTTTTAGCGAGTAAGATTTATACGGGATAATTTTTTTGTTCAAGCCTTGTTAAACAGCTACCAACTATAATTATATATCTGGAATAAGTCGACAGTAAACGCTATTTGACTGACCATGATATACACGGCATTATTCGTCAATTTGTCTCCGTTCGGATAGCCTAAAGAACTAGAGAATATAAGAAAGCTGTTTGACTTGAGTACAAAAGTTTATAGCACTTTTAGCCCACAATCCAGAAGTAAAACAATACTGTTAAGACTAACCGATTGGATTTCAAAAGTAAATTTTTGAAATTCGCAATAGAGTCGTACTGTTAACGACCGGTTTAATCCAAACACGTTTGAAATAAATGGGTCAGGAATTTTCTCAGGAACTTTGAGAACTTATTTAGAGATAAATTACTAAGAAGCACACTTCACGAGATATGAAGGTCCTCATTTAGTCCTTGACGAGGTTATACATAACTATCAATGAGAAGTCTCAAGAAGTTCAAAGGTTAAACAACTGTCTAGAATTTTCCCGTTCTTAATGGCGCCCCAACTAAAATCGACACGTGGTAAATAATGTATACAGAATAAAATTGTTCAAACATAATCACATCAGCTCATTTGCTGTATTATAAATCTTGTAGCATAACTAGAATGTAATTTTCACCAATATAGAGTTAGACAGAAAAGTATTAGAAATTATTATCTAATCAAATTGTTATTAACTTGATCATACACAAGTGGGAACTTTGTAGTTGGTAATGTACTTTTGAAAAAAAGCAAATAACTTTGATTGTTAAAACCAAATCTTTAATTTTCATAGTTACACTACTAACAGAGTAAAAGCATATGGTTTATTATTAAGTAATTTTCGAAGCTTACGCTCGATTCAATGTTCACGATTACTCTAATCAAGGCTCATGGTGGTTAGTGACTTTGAATGAAACGGCTCAAAATCGTTTGTGATGGCATAGATGCATCCATTCTTTGTCTTCTCTCAAATTCTGATCTTCTAAACTCTTCACGTTTTTCCTCTTTTTTAAATTTCTTTGATTGGCTTATACTTTTCGAATCATATCTTCGGTCCCTAATCGTTTCAATTAAGGATAATGCTGCTGCTACTTCTACCGCTATCGGATTTGAAGTGAAAATTCCATCTCTCTGTGGTAATGTGTTATGGCAACTTGAACTGATGTACGTACGTACGAAGTTCTACGTTTTAGATGACTAAATCAATGGTCAGTATTAAATCAAATTAGTTTTTGGTCGTTAAATACTTGATAATACTTTTGAACAATATAAGTAGTATATTTCCTGAAACTTGTTTAATTACAATGGCCAGGCTGAGATTCTTCTTCTGATATATACCTTGATCTACTTAAAGAGAGCTGTCCTAGGCATCCGATGAATCTGTCTAAACTATTTCCCGAGTTTAATCTAAGTTCTTAGTATTACATATACTCATTTCGAAAACTCATTAGGTCAGAAATGTGACAGTCATGAGAACAGTAACTGCAATTTTTAGGACTTCAGATTTTTTCGAATGATTGATTTCAAGTTTTATTTCGGAATTATGATACAAGAATCATTTTGAAATGTGTACTTAATCCAAATTTCATAACATACAGCCGATACCTTATCATCTTGACTTTATCATTACCAATCACTTAATTGTACGATTTCATAATGGTTTGCTGGTGGTATATAAGTAGGTCAACTCATGGACGTAACGTCGGTTTTTGAATTGACTGACTTAAAGTTTGGACCATGAAAACAAATGCAAACTATCTGGTTGACAATTACGTGGTTATTATAATCATTGGCTGCAAATATTGAATGACATGGTTCAGAATGAATCTCAAAAAAAATAGACTCATTTATTCTTTGTCCTAAAATAGTATGATTCCGCAAGTTTTCTCTTTCTTCTTGAATTTTTTATATCCATGACGACATTTCTACTAAGAGTGATATTGTTAATGCCAACACGACTCAGACATTGGGTATTGATAGTTTTAATTTACTATTCGAATGGAAGCAGAAGATCGCACCTTGATTGAAGCTTTAAGTGTTAATTATTGAAACTAGATTCAAGTTATTATCTTCTGAAGGTTTTAAGTTTGATCCTATATGAAGTCATAACTACCAACACTTTTGAGAAGTACATTAAGATGAAATTGATGTTTAGTTTTATAGAGTTCTTCTAAAAGTATTTTAGTGTTTAATATAATTCCATAACGAAAATTTCATTTTCAAAGACCGATCAACTCCAGTACATTAACAGCAAGAAGTTACAGACCTTGGCTGATACTTTCATCGCTGGTTGAATAATTTAATGTGTACACATAGTAATCAACAACTCAGTAGATAGTGCATAAATCTTTTGAGATGTATGTGACTTGATTACCATTTCAGCGTATCAATGAGATTATATTATTATCTATTAACAATAATTAATTAATCATTATAGTGTTATAGAGATTGTTAAAGAATCTGCTACAGAGTCTCATACTAAAATGAAATGGTCATTCAGTGCTTCCAGGTTTCTAATGATGATCTAACAATGATCGATTCATGATTTCAATAATTAGTTAAATATGAAACTGTTGGGAATGTTTGATCCACAGAATTCACTTGGAAAAGGTCCTAATTTTGGATATTTAATGTTTTTGCGCATAAGCTGCTTAGTTAACCTTGAGATTACACTTCTCACTCGAAAATCATTGACTATCATTGGTTGATGAATTATTTTAGTACGCTATTTTTGTGGCTCTCCCAAGAACGTTACCATAATGTATAAATAAACTCGATTTGTGTGCTTGTAAACCTCGTCGTACTTCTCGGTGCTTGTAGAATACACTTTCTACGCCTTATCAAGATTTCTTGATATAATTAACCGGGCTGGGGGACAGTAGGATTAGAATAGCCTATCATGTCACTGAACCATTTGTCTTCGTTCCATTTACCGACTAAGGTGAACTTGTAATAGTTTCAAGTATATCAGTCGACGGACATAACAGAAACATGATCAGATTCTCTCTTTTCACTAAGGAACTAATACAATAACTTCATAAATTCAATTAAATATATCATCCCTCTAATTCTAATTAAATGTATAGTTAATTAAATGTAACCGATTTTTTTAAAAGTTTATTGATTTTACTTCTTTCTTTTGATCTTATCTTCATTTTCTTTCTATTTTTTCTACTTTTTTTTCTTAAATTATATAATTTAATGAAGAAAGAACAAAAAAATATTGTTTGTTAAACAAAGCAATGAAAAACACAAATCATCATCATCATCATCAAAATAAAAATGAGGAAATTAAAAGGAAAAAGAGAAAAAAACTTATTTCATGATAAATAAAAGTTCATCGGAACAATATGTTAAGAAGGGGAAGAAGCATTATAATGTGAGTAAGAAAACAAAAAACAAAACAATGTTTTTCGATCAATAAACCGTTTTTGTTTTTTCCCTTCTCCATTGTTTATTACATTTGACTATTACGTGGTGTCGATGAAGAACGTATACATTTAATGCAATGATTTGAATTGGATAGTTCTCTATCATTATTATCATTATTATTATTATTTTCATTATTATTATTATCTTTGTATAATGCTTTAATTGATTCTTCATTGAAAATAGTTTGATTAAAATTTAATAAAATATATGAATTATATAAGAATTGTACACTCTCTATACCATAACTAGATAATAATGCCCATTCTAAAAATCGTATAGGATATTTACTAGTAAAATTTAATAGAATTATTGTTGGACTTAATGTACTATTGCATAAACTAATGCCTTGATTCCATTGATTCATTAAACTAATCATTTCCGGATAACATAAACACTGGAGAAATGTATGAAATTTCAATGGATCACGTTCATTCACATCAATATGTTTAGCTAATTTTTGTAAAATATACATTGGTAATTGATTTGATGAAATATTTAATAAATGATTTGAGATTTCTTGAGCTAATTGATAATTAGCAAAAAATAAATCTCGGATTAATTGTTGTTTTCTATGAATTAAATGTTCCGATTTTCTATTGGTTCTTTGTTTTCGAATGACAATGTTCTCTACATAAGGTGGTTGTTGTTCATCATTGATAGCTTGTTCTTCTTCTTCTTCTTCTACTTCTTCGCCTTCATCCTCACTTGTGTTGTTGTTGTCGTCATCATCTTGAGGATGATGTTGGGCATTAGTTGAATGTGGATCTAATTGATTTTGAAAGAGTTTTATATTGTGTACATCAATATTACACAATGATGTTCGATAACTATGAGAATTTTGTGCAATGAATAATAAAAGTGTTTGTACTAATTGTTTTGAATCCCATACTTTTGGATTGGCATAATGTTTACTTAAATCATTGGAATTGAGTAATTTAAACTCTAAATCTAAATTTGGACAACATTTTGAAATTACTTGTGTAATTAAATGAACAATTTCATGGAGTAGAGCAAATGTTTGATGTACATGACATGGGAGACATCTAGCGAATACATCAAGGACCTAATGTTTAAAAAGTGAATAACAGAAAACAAAGGAACCATAAATTAAATAGTCATACTATTTTGATTTGGATTTTATATTAGACATTAATGATTGATGTCTACTAACTAACAAAACATTAATTTTTCATTACAGAGTTATGGAGATTTATTAACCAATCAGAAAAAACATAGGATGACATAGGATCAAGAAACTGATAAAAAGGGGGATACAATCAAAACAAAGGTGCAAACAACCACAGGTTTAAGGTCAACAGCAATCGATCAAGATCGAGCTACGGGTCATAGGTGGAGAAATTCTAATACTTCACTTCTGTCTGAAGTTTGTGCTGATGGTGTTGTTCAGAAGAACAATGAAAGCTCCACAACCAAAACATCCATCTCAGAGAACCAAAAACCACCACCACAATCATCCACCTGAGCTACAAATTTTCTCCACACTCTAAAGATTTTTATTTCACATTATAATCATGATCCGGTCATTGTTAATCTGTCATTAAAAACCAGGAAACAATGGACTGCCGTTTCGTGCTAGTACGGGACTCTTTCAGAAGTGCTTATCTACGACCACATGACACAAAATTGAACCCTGGTCGTTTGGTCTCAAGCAAAAACAATTAACCTCTTGATCGGAACTCAACTGTGGTAATGTCTAACTTTCATCAATCTGAGTTTTTGCGCGACCTCACTCATCGTCTTCAGTGGATAACTATATAGATCCAACAGGGTTGAACTCCACTGGTTACAGCTTCTCTCTAGAACCCTGCAAATTTCTTCACGAAGCTATCGGAAAGCATTTTGGTGAAACACATTTTGGTTTCATGTTACTAATTAATCTACTACTATGCAAAGAAGGCATTTAATTGTAGCATCAATAACATCTTTTAAAGAATTGATTTAATGATAAGTCAAAACAATACTAAACACTGTGCTAGTTTATCAGCTACTACTGCTGGTCGATCAAATGTCTACAAGGTTTTATATTTGCCAAAACAATATTCATTAATACATGGTACGATGTAAAGTTTCTTTTCTTTTCCGTAAACGGAGTTCTGAGCAGTAAAAGTAAAACAGCTATTAGTTGAATTTTCTGATTCACAAAATATATAAATGATAATCTATATTTACGCCATTATCCTAAATGTTGTATTATTTAATTAAAATGCAGACTTAATCGTGATTTGATATTTTTTTAATCAGTAACATATTTTGATGCACAAGCACATTTTTAGAGCAGATTTATTATCACTGTTAATAAAATAGAAATTGTGATCATTTGATTTGGTTCATGACAGGGCCAATTTTCCTCAAAAGTATAATGGACTTTGTTATGTTCGTCTCTAGGTACGCTTGAAGCTATTATGAGTACACTTCAGTCGATAAACGCGAACGAGACAATTACCAGCGTCCAGATAGGCTACCTTGATCCCAAACTGCAAAACAGAAGACTTGATAAGCGTAGAAAGTATATTCTACAACACCCAGCAATCATACAATGCAATCAAGCACACAACTCTCGTTTATTTATACATCATAGAAACGTCCTTGGGACAGTCAGAAAAATAGCACACTGAAATACACAGCAGCCAATCACACACAGCCCAAGGTTTTCCTGGTGGGAAATGAAATCTCAAGGTCAACTGATCAGCACATGCTTGCAAACGTGAAATCCAAGGTTAAAGCATTTATCAAGCAAGTTCTGGGGATCTAACATCCCCATTAGACTTGTTCAAATTACTCATACTGCATACATTTTAATATTTTATATATTTTGTATTAGGCAGTAGCTGGAATGAAGACGTTTCGTAGTAGCCTATCTAGTATCTCATGTACGTAGTATGAAATAAAGTTTGCAGTAATGATGATCACTTAGTAATCAGTTTTATTAAACCGTATCAATAAGCAAGTGTTTAGCATAATAATGCATGATTTTTTTTTCCATTTGATATGTTTCAGCATATAGTTTATATTACGGGGTTGTGAAGATTGTTAAGTTACACATTTTTGAAACCACGAATTGATCAATCTTAGACCACCATTAGAAACCGAAGGTCCTGTGTTCGAGGGGTGCAGGAGTCGTGGATGCGCACTGCTGAGGAGTCCCATACCAGGACGAAACGGTCGTCCAGTGCTTCCAGGTTTCTAATGGTGGTCTAGCATCGATCGATTCATGGTTTCAAAAATATAGTTTATAGACAAAATGTTTTAAATTCATGAAACTAATCTTGCTTAAGTGATTTGTATTGATAAGCTTCGACTTAAGTGATGTATCATTTTAAAAGTAAGCTGACTCTGTACATCTTTCTTTATCATTAAGAGATATCTGATTTTGTTTTAATTGATTAGTATAGCTACCAATAATTTGAACTTTAATTTAATGCGATTGGTTAAGTTTTTTAATATAAATTTAAGTGAATGAAGTGATGTTTCTTAGAATAAAACAAACAGATATTAGTTATGGTTATTTGAATACACTATTGGATATCACATGTTTACTCATAACCAAGCGGTTTACTTTATTTGAGTTTGTATTATAAGGTTATGGCGAATTGTCGAGTAACTTTAAAATCATGGATCGATCAATGTTAGAGCACCATTAGAAACCTGGAAGCACTATTCTAACGGCTGTTTCGTCCTGGCATGGGACTTATCAGCAGTGCGCATACACGACTCCCGCTACTCGTAAGATTTTGACTTGATCAAAGTTAGACATTAACGCCATTGGATGCTGGCTAATCGGTCCAGAAGTTAGGCATTCACGCATAAGACCGAAGGCCCCGAGTTTAATTCCTGAAACTAGCGAAGTCCCGAATGCGCATAGCTGATGAGTCCCATACCATGACGAAACAGTTGTCCAGTGCTTCTGTGTTTCTAATGATGCTCTAACACTGGTCGATTCACGATTTCAAAATGTGACTGACTTGTTTGTTTTTCTTTTTATAAAACAGTAAGAATGTGTTATGCTTGTTCTGCTTTAAAGGAAATCAATCAACCAATCAATCATCATTAGTAACTTACTTGTTTATATTCATTAATACATAGGAAAATTTGTATTTCACCTTTAGTATCAGTTATTTTGGAACCATGAAGCCATTGTATTAAATTCCATGAACGTGAATGTTTTGTTCTACGTCTATTAGAATTATAATCAATTCTATCATTATTATTAAAATTATGATGAAAATTAAAATCTAATGAATTTAAATATAATTCAGATGTTGTGTAAAAATGGTTAGCCATATTATTATTATTATTATCATTGCTAATATTATTATTATTATTGTCTTGTTGATCTTTTAAATGTAATTGATTAAATTCATTTAATAATTTAATATGTATAAATTTTTTACGATTCATTGATATTTCGCGTCTTAATTGAACTTGTATACGTGGCATTAAATGTATCAATTGTCCAGGTGATGTAATCAATTGTAAACCAGAATAGATCATACTTTTATTATTGTCATCATTCTTATCCCATAAACCTTGATATAATGGAATTTGATTTAAACGTGGCATTTCAATTTGTATTTCTTCATTACTGATTGATGCATCATTATTCAATTGTGATATATCAAATACTATAGTTCTTGTAAATTGTGTAAGATGACTTAAGCATAAATCATTAATATTATTACTATTATTATTATTATTATTATTCATATTATTATTAATAATATGATTGAAATGTGTACCATTACGATCAACATGTTCAATGTCAGGTGTTAATGGTCTTGACAATGAACCACTACTATTAATTTGTTCAAATAATTCAAAACAATCAGTGGAATGTTTTTTTCTATTACGTGATTTTAAACGACGATGCTCTTTCACAATACAACATACACATAAACCATAGGATTCTAATAATTTCAGTAAAATTTTTGTATCTTGTTCACGTACAAATAATTGTATATCATCTAGTGTAAAACTTCCAGTAATTCGAGTACGATGAAGAAATCGTTCAGATAAACATTTACCAAGTATACCATTACATAATTGATTTGGATTTAAGACAATTAAATCATCTTTATGAAAATAATTATTATTAGTGTCATTGATAATTATTGGTGGACTAGTATCAACAGTATGATGTGATGTTGTTGGAATGTATAAAATCTGTGGATGAAAAAAAAAATTAAGACGTTTATTATTACATGAAATTGAGATTATGTGAGAAAAAAAAACGGAAACCTAGAAAGCGTGGTACATTATTTGTGAAAACCTAATACAAATATGAAATTAAGGGTCATGACAGTCATCTTCATAACTAGGCACAGTGACTTTATAAAATAGTTGAAATTCAATATTCTATGTTTCAGAATTAAGTACGAGGCTATCATCTACTCTCATTGGTAGATAACTTTATTAAAGCCTTCAAACTTTAACACCTCCTAAACACTAGTTTCTATCAGAATGGTTGATGTTCAGTCTAGAAATTTATCATTGATAAACATATAAATTTTATTGGAATAAGAATTTTGTGGAAAGTGATCATATAGAAGTTAGTTTTCAATTAGTTCCAATCGATTGAAAATATCGATTTTTTCTGTTTCGTGCAATAAATCTAAAGATATGAAAAAAAATGGTTTTTTTGAAGGATATTCATCATAGATTCGCTTTCGTTAAGTTACCAGTAAACCCATGGTAACCCATCAGACAGCTTTTTAGTCAATTTGAAGATATTTTACATCACTGATGAATATAAGAAGCAGAAACAGTGATTTGAGGAGTACTAGTACGACTCAACGTTCGAACTGACTATTATTAGACAACAACTATAAAACAAACCAATGAGATGTTAAGGAATGGTTCATATTTCCAAGTTCATATGAATTGTAATAAGGCTTATTTTCCATCTTCTATTATATATTTTTCAATTATTCAAATTCAACATCCTTACAATTGCTTTAATCAAGTCGATCATGTAATAAACAAAGTTTATATCGGTGTTCATCGTTCAATAGTAGAAACCTTCCTCCAATCATGGTTAGTGATTTTAGAATTCATAAACTAACATCAGAACAGACCTCTTTACAAACAAACTGTACCAAGTGATATACTACAAAGTTATTACCGATTGCAAACAAACAACAATTTATTAGGATGAGAAAAAAATCATCGATCAATCAGTTAAATGATTTGGCGAAATCGCCAATCCTAAGCTGATAATTTAATTTTAGTTAATACATAGTTGATTCAATCGAAGTGCTTTTTGGTAAGGAAAAACTAAAAGTTGATTGTACTAGATGATCCGATCGATTACAGGCATGGAAATTAGTGTCACTTTACTTGGTTTCTATTGGTTTCGATTACAATTATCACTGAAAATATGAAGAATTTTGCGAATTACTTTATTCCAATTTGAAATTTACTAAAACAGTCGAGACGTGTTGTTTCTAAGATTAGAAGACACGAATTGGCCTTATTTTGAATAGGCACATTACGAAAAAATTGATAATATCTGTTACGCATGCACATAAACACGTCATTTGATATGCTTGAACTATTACGAATTTACCTCAGCCGGAAAAGGAGAGCGAGGATCGAAGATCCAGTGATACGACATGCTATTCCAATCCGATTTTCCCAACTCCCGATTGAGTAAAGGGAGAAGACTTGATATGAAGTAGAACATTACAAGCATCTAGAAAGTACGAGGTTTGAGCCGGAAAAGAACCAGGATCCTGGACTAGGGATCCGGATCCGGGTCATAAAACGTTACAGATAATGCGTACTTATACATTTAGGTCGAATAGAAAAAAACATTGAAGTCTATGACATAGACAGTTAGGACGATCAATAAGAAACAACAATTGACCAATAGAACTAGACTTACAAATAATTCTCTTAAGATATTGGATGAATATCCTAACAATATCACATTATGATAAGCTTATAGTCTATAAATCAAAGACCTTATAACTACTTTATCACGTCATCCATAGATTTGTACTTGTTCTTTTTTATGGAAGAATTCGATAACTAATGAAATCACATATTAAACTTCTGCGATGATATCTTTTCTGCACAGATCAATGACAATCTTGCTATTCTAAATACTGATTTAGTTTAGGGCTAAATTTCCACAAACAACATAAACGTTATTCCGTTCGAAACAAAAAGAAATAGAATGATAAAACGAATAAGTTTCAGTTTATTACACATTACATTACATTTCGTATATTCAAATCTATATTAGGTTGAATCAATGATTCACTATATACATAATGAATAGTTTACTGTTTGTTAGATTACAATTAATTGTACTAACAAACTTATCGGGATTATCAAAAGCTTAAAGAATAAATTTGTTAAAATATGAAAATCTTACATTTCCAGCAGATTGTAAATGTTCAATAAGAGTTGTTAAATGTTCATCTGTACACAATGGATTAATATGTTCATGAATACGTTCAGCAAATTCATCCAAATTACATATAGGAAATATATCATTAACTGTCCATTCTGGTAATTTATTTGATAAATCAATCATTAAAGAATTTGTTCTTGGAAGTGTCTATAATAAATAAAAGTTGAAACCAAGAACTTTTTTTTAGAACGTTAACCTGTTTTTTAGTTATCGATTCTTTCTAATTATTCACTGAGTTGATGTAAGTAAACTAACTACCTTCAAGAGTGAAGAAATTTCCTAACATGTAGTTTTTCTTCATGGCTCTACACTAATATATACGATTTATTACTCATCGAGTAGTTACGTAACGTAATGATTATATAATGTCACAGGATGACGCATGGCACCAAGTTAATCTGAATAAAGTCTCTACGGTCATCCAACATATTCTATCAAATTTACTACATCATTTACGATTTATTCTTTTGCATATTGCTGAAGCTATCGGAATCCATGTTAACAAACCCAAGGTTCGCACAACCACTCTCTCTGTCACGGTCATCAGTATAAGAGTGAGTTTTAGTTGAACTTTGACTAGCCTCATTTTATCAAAATATTTAAACAATTTCTCATTTCGTTTGTAAATTTCTGCATATTTAACAGCCATCTCTTGATTTCTACATAACACTGAACTTTCATCATAATAAATTGTTAATTATTTTATGATATTCATTAAAGAGTTATAGATATTGTTGTTTTCTATTGAAACAATGAATCAACCATTGTTAGAACAGCATTAGATACCTGAGAGCACTGGACGTCCGTTTCGTCCTAGTTTGGCACTCTTCACAGTGCGTATCAACGACTCCCTCATCGAAATCGAACCCAGGACCTTCGTTCTCACGTGCGAATGCTTAACCTCTAGACCACTGAGCCAACGGTGTTAATTCATCATCTAGATATGGAGATGTTTGTTTTTCATTTGAAATCATGAATCATTCAGTGGTAATGTTTATCTCTAATCAATCCAAGGTATTGAGCGACCTTATCCATTTTCCTCGGTAAGTAGCTGTCTATACCCGACAGAGTTGAACTCCACTGGTCACTGTTTCCTTTATATACTATTTAGCACACGAGTAAATACTTTAATCATTAAATCCTTTTTTCTCCCGATTATGCAATATTATCTATTAATCATTGTGACATTAGATGATCATTGCGTTATGTAACAACCACTAGATGAGTATCAAACCATCATTATAAATAATGCATATTGGTGTAGAGCGATGATTAAAAACTTTTTTTTAATGAATCCTCCTTATTTGTTCTTTGTATCAAAAAATGAATATTGTCAGCATATCTGAAACATCCAGTATTAAAAGATTGGTAAATAAATATAAAAATATACACCCGTTTCCATTTCCAATGTGTTTTGGATAAAACAATACTGAAGTGTCTGCACGAACAACCTTTTTTTTCCCATATACATTTCTTATGACTGACACCAGAAAATCAGCCTATCTTCTTAGGAATTCTTACCTATAACAATCAAATACAGTCGTTTAATCAAAAAAGGAAGATATAATACTTCTCATTTGGATTTGACTGTAATTTGCAGAAACAATGAAATATACTATGAAGTGAATCTTCCGTCTAATTTCCGCTTAGGCTAACCCCGTTTGTACAACGGTAGCAATTAAAAGCCCAATACAGCTTTATTTTGGATAAATTTATTGCATACATTCATTTAAGCAGACAGATAATAAAACGAATCGTAAAAGCGAAAAGAAGTGAAATGGAGGTGGATGGGCCAATTCGATGTAGTGAGGCATGACAAAAATCAGCTAGATATATGATAAACGAAGCAAGCAATGCACACATACGAGTAAAAACAACCAATATTATAAGTGAACAATAGACAAAGTGGAAAGACGTGTGAATAACTTAAGAGGAATTGATTAATTAGGCTAGGACAACCATGTGAGCTAGATATCTATCTTAGTACACACTGCAAAGAATATAAAGCAGAAAATATGAAAAACATCGCCAATAGTAAGTTTGTGAATGTAAAATACAGTACAATAAAAGCTTAAAGTAACTCAAGAAATCTGTTGTAAATCATATAGATTAATTAACCTAGAAGCATTTCTTTAAATTTTCTCTTATCATATTATATCACATTAGTCTTGTTATTAATTCTCAATGTCTAGTGATCTAATCTTGTCTGATAAACTAAATAATTGATTCTTTAGATTATAAATAGCATTTTTTGTAAAAATAATAATTTCAATAGACATGTTCATCGTTATTACTGTTTGAAATTTATTTCCGAAAATTCAAAATTTATAAGCAACTATTTTCTTACTGTAAGGAGTTTGTGCAGGTTGTTGAGTTTAATATTTTGCATAATAAGCTGATACTAGTTAGACAGTGCTATCTCAAAACGGATATTTAAGGTATGATAGCTTCCTTATAAATATATTTGAAATGGAGTTGTTTAAAGTCACTTTTTTCAACAAAATCAAAAAGAACCTAAGAAAATATTTACTCAAGTGAATGACATCAACTTAATTATTATTAAAATCATTAACCAACCAAAATCAGACAACTATTGAAGTCCATGAAATACTAGAAAGCCGTTTTGTCTTTCTATGGGACTCCTCAGTAGTGCACAACCTTGATCTCAGATGCAGGGATCTAACTGAAGAATTCGAATCTCGCACAAGACCGCGGAGCCGGTATCCAATAGTGTAAGAGTCTAACTTCAATCGGTTTATAATTGTGCGCAACCATCTTTCATTGTCTTCAGTGGGTACCTCCTAACACCCAACACGGTTAAGCTCCACCGGGTACGTTCGAGACCAAAGGTCCTGGGTTTGATTGAGGTGTAGGGGGTTGTGGATACGCACTATCTAGAAGTCCCATACTAAGACGAAGTGGATATCTAGTGCCTCCTGGTCTTTAACAGTTGTCTAACATTGATCGGTTTACAATTTGAATGAAATTCAACGATCTCTATAACCTTTTACTGACAACAACATAAATGTTCGTATAAACAAAGTAAAGCAACTTATACCTACCTGTACGATGATATTTCGAATATCGGCCAAATAAGTTTTTAATTGTTTCATTTCTAACGATGTTCCATCTCTTGCATCGAGCAGATAAACAATTTCATGGATGTCTAATTTATCTCTAATAATTAAAATAAAGACATGTTCAAGACTATGAATTCAACAAATAACTAAAGATTATGTATATATATATATATATATATATATATATATATATATATATATATATATATATGTTTTACAAAGTATAATATTCAACAACTTTACATCAACTATCATTGACATTTAAACGAATATTTTGACAAAACAAACTGCACTTTAGATAAGTAGCATTGGCATAAGCAAGTCATATATTAGTATTTTTATAAAGAAAAAGTTGACATAAATGTCAAGTAAAATATTTGATCTGCAAATTCATAACCTCTAAACTATTTAAGAATTTTATAGTTGATATTTTAGACAAAAAAACAAACAAACTAGGAAGCACTGGATAGTTACATCATCCTAGCATGGGGCTAATTAACGAAGCGAACCCACGATCCCATAGGAGACCATGGTTTCAAACAAAGAAAGAAAAAGATATGTAGTACTGGTAGTCTAAATGCGTTACCTGAGGAACAATGAGTAACCTGAGAAATTTGAAAAATATGAGAAAAGTAAAGTCAAAATTTTTCAAGAAACCACAGTGAATAAAGGACCTGTTTTCATTGAACTTAAATTCAAAGTGGACGATGTTGCAGTGGCAATGACGGGAATTGATGCAACAGCCGATTTTGTTATCCTGAATAAAATAATATATTCTTTACTTCGAATAAAGACCTATAGATACCTCTTTCATGTTACTGTCAATCGCTTATCACATTTTATATATATATATCTCCTACAGCAGTTACATTGGTAGAACAGAAATAAGGAGCTAACATTCCATTTTAAGAACATATCCTAAAAAAGTTTCACGTTAATGAAAATAAAGTTTTTGATCAGTGTCATTAGAAAACATGTCACATGGTATGGATTGAATAGGCTGAAATCTTTCAACACTAACAGTCGACAGTCGAATTGTGTTCTCGAATCCGTCGGAGCCACAGCCATCAATCGACTCAAGCCAGACTTATCTATTCATTTACTATGGTGATTTCATCGTTAGTTTTTCACATCATTCTTGCAATTTCTTCTCTCTCTCTCTCTCTTACTGTAATCCCATCACTTCTCTCAAATCCATAACTTTTAATTGACTAGTATTATTTGATGTTCTTAATCATTGTCAATTTGTGTTGAATTACTTCATTATATAATCAATTAATCATCATATCTCTAAGATATCGTGTTATTGTGTCTGACGACCCAGAATCTTCTCTAACCAGATTTTCCTTTTTCACGTGTAGGTCTGATCGGAAAAGATTGTTAGTGCTTGCCTTTGAAAGATGAAGTAAACCTGTTGCTATTTATCTGTTAATATTTATTTACTTCATGTTCACTATAAGTAATGAATTCTTTTAAATGACCTTTATCAACTGTTTAATCTTTTCTTATTTTCGTTTTCTACTATTTATGTATATTCATATATATTTTAGAGTAAAGCCTAATGACGATCTAATTGAATACAATATTGTTCGCTTATATGTATTGTATTATTTAATTCTCACATAATCTTATGAATGTTTACATATGGATTAGAGTTTATTCCTTATCATGATAATTTGATTTCCTTTACGTTATCTGTTTTATCTTGATGATGATGAGTGATGATAACACCTACCTCATTCCACATTACTACCTTCTAACATATTAAGTAAGTATTGATATTACTATTGTGGTGTGAGCTACTTATAAGTAGTATATGACGTGAGTATCAACGTAATGTCTGGCTGCAGAAGATGGGGGAAGATCGAGAAAAGAAGGGTTAGAAAACAATGGAATTTATATGAAACTCATGAACAGTGACATTGGATTGATGTTTTGCAACAGGAACAGCCCAGTTCGATATGATGAACTGATATTTTGCAAATGAACGATTAAGGATATGGTTTTCCGATTTTACTGAGTAACTCTGTAATTTCGCTAAATAAAATTCGGTTGCCCCACCTGTATTCTCGTTCACTACACTATGTTTGTGAATTTACTTTGTGTCTTATTCCTCTACTGATTATTATGATTAGGATTATGTTTCGAATATTAACGTGAATTTCACAAACTAATATATATAGATTGTAGAACATTTGTTTAGCATTATATAAATAATTGTAATTTCATGGTGTATACAACTGATGATCAAGTGTGAAAGTCATGTATGTAATTGTTTGGTGAATCAAACTGGTGGTCATTAAAATTGACTGAATACTATCACGACAAATTGTTCTTGTGTACACAAACAAGGCTTTAATTGTTTAATCGTAAAAGCTTCCATAAAATTAATAATACTTCCTTGACAATTTCTGCACAAAATCTTGGAAAGCTGTTGTAAGACCGAATACATGACTTCTGTGCAATGAAGTGTTTTGGTTATTTCAATTCCGTTCATTTGTCGCAGTAATAGACGCTAAGTAGTCCTAAATCTATTTACACAAATGTTTCATTATCCGTAAATGAATTGTTACATTACCCATCCACATGTAGACCCTTCGGGGCTACTGCCTGTCCCAAGCCCGGATAAAGGAGGAGAGGGTTGGGCATGGGGTCGGCGCCCCCATCCCAACTAAAAACTAACTAGCTAAAAAAAACGCTAACCAGAAGAAATAATTCAAACCATCCACATGTGTATGCGTCCACGTACTCATGCGAATTATGGATTCCGATAGCTTACCCGTTTGTTACTGTACACGAACGCTTCTATTCATAATTCTTATTGTATAATATTGAATACATAGTAATTTAAACTTTTTCATGCCAATATGAAATTCTTACTGTATTCTATACATTTTCACATGTATCTCTTTTAGCATGAAGTATTATTTTTTTTATAGATTGCAGAAAAAAACAACATCTTGCATTACAACATTCCAAAGTAAAGAAATAAAAAGAATATTCTACTACTTACTGATATTCTAATGTAATTTCTTTTAAAAACAATAAAGTTTCTTCATCATAATAAAAACCATTTAAATCTTTTTGACATTGAACTACATCTGCATGAGTTCCAACAAGAATTACTCTAGCCATTTCAGTTGGTCTTCCACCGAATACTTTTGAAAAGAAAAAAAACATACAATTACACTGTATTTAATGAAATATTTTCGTAAATTCTTCTTCTAGAAATTACGTCAAAAATTAATTACTGATCGGTAGATAAATCAAATTTTACTGTTGTTAAGTTACTGCCTGTATTAAATTTAGGTTGAATAAGAAGAGTTTCCATGGCTTTTAAGAGACAAATTGTGGTAAAATATTGAAGTAGCGTATTTATTCATTCGAAATACGGAATTCTCCCTAATAATAAGTTTTGACGCAAATTATCAAAATTGAACTTAATGCTTAAACGTAATTACCTGATAATGAAATTAATATTTGCCCTTGAAAATGCACTTGTAATATTTAAAAAGTAAATCCTCCGAAGGCAATACTAGTGTGGTGTACACTACTTATGTTCACATAAGTATTATATGATATCAAAAGGAAATCAAACGTCTGACAGCAAAAGATCGAGAAGGAAAGAATGAGAACAGAAGACAATTTGTAGGTAACGTAAAGTGAACTGAAGTCTGAACAGTCTAAATGAAAGAACACTGAAATCTGAAACAAATAAGGATTAGTTTGCAAATGATGATTTCACAGGAATGTGTTGTACATATGGTTAACAACTCTGTAACATTCTATTAAATATAGATGTTGACGTCCTCACCTGAGTTTACGTGCACAACACTAGTACCAATCTAATTAAATCTATCATGGAAATTTTAATTTGATCTTGAGAAACAACATGTAAGACAGCAGAAATATTTACAAATCAAAGGCAATTCAACAAATCACTTTGTTACACTAATAAAATAAACAGAGAAATTAGATTTCGAATGTCGACTACTTAACCGTGATGACAAGTAACTTACAATTTGAATGCGCATAGTACATTTGGTGTGTGGTTAGTTGTGAAATACAGAACATGAATGCATCTCAATGTTGATGTTTACATTAAGATCCAAACGCAGTACTTCTTACTTTAAACCCTGATATTTTATAATACTGAATGCAGATACCTGTAGCTTATGAAGTCTTTAATTTGAACGACCACCAGAAAATACGAATTGTTTTGCAAAATAGGAAATTTATGTTTGGGATGAGTAATTTTGAGGATATGACTCGCAGATAAAATCAAATTAAAAGTTATCCAAAAATAAATATCATTTATTTATTATCAAAAGTCGATTCAAACATTTCACTTTCACTTGAACTATCATGAAGTGAATTGATTCTCTAACCTACAAATATCAAGTTTGCCCTGAGTTAATCAGAATTGACATGAAGAACAAACTAGGCAAGAAGTTTTAAAAATCACATGATTTTAATCCTAATCAGTTCGTGTTTAGTAAGTGTACATAGAAATGTAAAAAAAAATAAGGCCAATTTTAGATTAAGGTATTCTTTTCATATGAGATATGCATAATATTTATCTATTATCAGACAGCATTCAAACATGTGATATTGTGTTGTTTTGAATCAACATCTTTTCGTTTCTTTTGACTCTCTTCATTCAATGGCTATGGACTAATATGACCAGAATGTTATTTTTAAAATGACATGTGACGACTTTTAATATTAGCAACTTTGGTAACTCATGCAAATCCTTAACGAATCGGATAAAAATAACATATTGTAAACCGTGAGTATCATGAAAAACCGAATTATGATTAATTAGGTTTTCATTGATCTCTTTTTACAACATGGTTGAATAGTCTTCCAGTTTCATTTACTAAAGGGAAATTTCAGAGGGTACGGGTAGGAAGAGTTTGATTATGACCGATTTAGTCTCTTGTGCTGTTACGGGTATGAGGACGGTTGTCACTTCCCGGCTACCAACACTGTGAAAGTGTATTTCTTGAGGGACCTGAAAAGGAAAATAGATTAGTGTCGGTTTTAGAGACCTGAGAGCGTGACCGCAGAGCCCAAGGGACAACTGCTTGAGGCCGGTCACGCACGGCCTTTTTATGAGAGTTTTTTGAGTATTTGCTCCGCTCTTGAAAGCCCTTAATGGGCACCCTTACCCAAGGAGACGGAAATCTGTGAGGTAGGGTGAGGTGTGACATTTCAGGGTCGACGTTTTCTAACCCTTCCTTCCTTGTCAGAAGGCAGCATCGCTGCAGATGCTGATTGTCCGAGGGAAACACCTTACTGCTGTCACACTCCTGTGCACTCAGCAGTACGACTTTGCCCTCAGTCTTTGAGCAGCTGATTTCAATCTCATCGTTCTCCAACCGACCTGACTGGCATGGTAGAACCTACAGGAACATATGTTCCAGCCAAAATAGCTTGGTTGGGTCATGACGATAGTCAAGCCCGACCACCACGTCAAGGTAGCAGCTTCGATCGGGAAATTTCAGAGGACGACCAATTATAATAAATAATTTGTTTTGAAAATAATCACAGAAGAGAAACATCGGTTTAAACGTTTGAGCAGGTTGATAAAGATGGGAATATAACATGTAAATGAAAGGGACGAAAGGGTAAGTTCCTCAGAAAGACGTAGTCTATAAATTGTTCCGAAGGGAGATTTGTGTTAGGGATTATAGTCATGTGGAGCAGGAGTTGAGAACCAGTACTTTATTAGTTAGTAGACTGAGATGCCATTTATGATGAAGAATATTGTGGTGAAGATAGGTTCGAATGTTGCTACAGGGAACTTATAAGAATCGACAACTAGAGAAGAAAACCAAAAATAAGGAGTACTAAACAATAACAGCACAAATAACTGTGATTAATCTGTCGTTATATATATGCTAAGTTGTTTCGTAAGCTGTTAACTTGGACAGTGGATCATTAAATCATTAATCGACCCTAAGTTTCCAATAGTTATCCAGATTATCTATACATATTTTCATTACAAACAATAACTGTTATATGATGGCATCCGTCTGGATGAAAAATAAACAAACATTTTGCTCACACAAAGGTCCTTTTACAGGTATACGAGCATAGAGAAAATCAAGCCAAAATCGTACACTTCTACGTCTCCATTCCAATGAATCCATTAAATTAAAGAGCACTAAATGTATACAACTTATATCACCGATAAAATGATCATAAAAACAATAATAGGATGGAAATCCAGAGAAATCCCATAGAGTATATTCATTTGTTACTAGAAAAAGAAAAGGAAATTTTGAAAAAAAAATGATGAGTTTCAATTTTCAATATGTCTCTTAAACGTAATTTTCAAATAATGTATTAACACATTCAACATTTCGCTGATTAAACAGCATGGATTGTATTTCATTAATTAAGGAAAACCAAGAAGCACTGGATAACTATTAAACCTTAGTGTATAGGACGTTTTAAAAACATACATATATGAACCCACCAAAGATCACCTGTTGAGCATGTAAATTGATATATACTAGGTTAAAGTCGTCATATGAACACTAACACTGGAATATAGGTATATCCTGCTGATGAGTTCCAAACAGGATGAAATGCATGTCCTAGATTCCACTGCTAAACACTGTGTAACTTTGCTTAAAATACTTGTAGCCTAACTGAACTATCGATACTATTCTCTCAGGATGCAGATATGCTGAAAGGAACAGATCGGTTGCACTTCTTACTTAACAATAAAAATGGGAAGGTTCAAACTATCTTTACAGATGAATTACATGTTTTACTTGTTTCAAGACTCACAATCGTCAAAAATGTCAAACCTAATGAAGTTGGTTTATTACTCATTATCAAGGAAAAAGGTTTTGAAGGCAGTTCTTCATTGTTGGGCTGGTATCTGTAATTACAGTATAACACCATTGGATGTAAAAGTCAGTGATCCACAGGTTAAGCATTCATGCGCGAAACCGAAGGATCTAGTTTCGATCCCAGTATGTAGGGTCATGAATGCTTAGTGCTGAGGAGTCCTGTACTAGGACGAAACGACAATTCGATGTTTCCAGGTTTCCAAATTTGGTGGTCTAGGTGAGGTCACTTCATAATTTAAGCTGTAAAAAATCCCACAATTTAAAAATAATCCCCATAGGTAATATTTTGTATATGAAAATACAATGATGATATATGCATGAATTGTTGCGTACATTCAAGTGACTTACTATGAACATCAATTCCTTGTGTATAATTTTCATGTTCCGCTTCTATATCCCACATATATGGATAATGATGTCGATATAAGTTTGATTTCGGACCTAAATTATGAAAAAGAACAGAAATAATTTTAATTTCTGGAACAAATTACAATTTTATTTTACATCTATCAATTTATTTTAGATATGATGATTGGATTAAACTATTGAATGCAATAAAACACTTGATTATTCGTCTAAAAGTATTATGTTCGCTTGAAAACTTTAGATTTTGAGTTCAATCGTGTGCTAAACCGTGGATTGATAAGGGGGATGTTAAGTGGTGTAGGAGGGATTTTTTTGTGACCACTTTGGTCTCGTGTGCTGGTACGGGCAAGAGCGCTGATGTTACTTCCCGGCTGCCCACACCGTGGATGTATTTCTTGAGGGATCTAAAAAGGAAGGTAGATTAGTCTTGGACTTGGAGACCTGAGAGCGTGACCGCAGAGCCTAACGGACAACTGCTTGAGGCCGGCCACGCACGACCTTTTTATGGGTAGTAATTAAAGTGTTAGTTCCGTTCTTTTTAAAAGGCCTTACCGCCGGAGACGGAAGTTCGTGAGGTAAGGTGAGGTGTGACATTTTTAGGGTCAACCTTTTCTAACCCTTCCTTCCTTGTGAGAAGGCAGCATCGCTGCAGATGCTGGTTGTTCGAAGGAAACACCTTACTGCCGTCATACCCCTCTGCAGTCAGCAGTATGACTTCGCCTTCAGACCATGAGTAGCTGTTTCTAGTCTGATCGTTCTCCAATCGACCTACCTGTCATGGTAGAACCTTCAGGAACATATGTCGCAGCCAATATAGTTCGGTTGGTTCATCACGATCGGCAAGCCCGATCACCACATCAAGATAACAGCTGCGGTCGGGTAAACCGTGGATACATATCAATAAGCAGCTGTGATCTAATATAAGACTCATTTATAGTTCCCCATGATTCTTTATACTTCTTTAATTAATTTCAGTATATTCCAAAAGTTATTTTTTACATAAATACAATTGTTTGATAATTTTATAGGTAGAGGTTACTTGCTTGAAAATGATTATAATTGGAGTTTAACAAAAAAACATTCATAGTTAAGGTGCACTGAACTAACAATGACATTAAAGGAATCTAAAGACAAAGAGTTAGTACCAATTAAAAATGTTAAAAAGGCACAAACACTTGAAAGTTCAGTATTCAATACATAGTAAACTAATACGATTCAAATGTGACTTTTATTACCAATCTAAAATAATCAAACAACCAGTATAATCTGGATCCTGGTTTGGAATCCTGCGAGTAGCATGAGTAGTGAATGCACACTGCTGATGAATCCCCCACCAGGACGGAAAACCGTCCAGTACCTCCAGCTTCCTAATGATGGTCTAACAATGATTTATTCATGATTTCAAGGTAATCTATTATAATTATGGATATGAAATTCTAGTTGATAATAGTACCTTCCTGTTTGATTAATAAAGCCTTAGTGTATCCAAATCAAAACAGAAATACTGAGATTTATGTGCTACTTTCTAACTGAACACTGTCTTAGTGTTTTGTATACAACGATCTATACTGTTGTGGACACTAAGCTGAAAATATTTACCACTCACACTTTGGAGTAAAGTTTACGAGTCACCAGTCTCTTCCTTAAATACGAACAAAATATTCTAGAAGGGATCACTTGAATGCCATGCGTATGATTCAGATAGTGATTATTTAAATCTTATTCAAAACTTATTAACTTCGAAAAAATATTTCCAAGTTAATTATCATTAAAAACACCAACTTAATCCTTAGGCATAAGTTCAGAATTATTATTTTTTTGTGTCAGTTGTCAATGTGTTGTTTGTACAACAGGAAAAACAGCGTCCCTCGCTTTTCCCGCCAATCTTTCTTTCAAAAAGTTAACAAAAAGTATAGAAATAATATGAAAGAATAATATCCCTTTTACAATCTTACCCCCTAGATGAAAACTAGATGGTGTATTAATTGTTTAAACAGTTTCATCCCTCACTCATTGATTATCAAAAGATGAAAAGTCAACAAATAAACGGCGCTGACTTTAAGAAATAGATAACAAAGAAATTGTTCTTTGTTACTATAGTGAATTATGTAGTTTCTTTTTTTTTTTGTTCTATTTAAAATGATTTTATTGTATTTTTGAATGTGAATAACTATATCGACAAAACGATCTAATAATTTGGTAAAAAAAAATACAATGATTCAATTCAGATAAAAAACGATATGATCTTCTAGTTTTAACGTTGACTTCTTTTTTTTGAGCAAGATAAAGGTCATGAGAACAATTATCATGTAATGTACTTTAGAATAGTGTAGATTAGTGTAGATTAGCATGATCAAAATGATTAGAATTATTTAAACTTGAGATTAAAATAAAAGGTTAATAAAGTATGAGAGTTAAATAAAAATGTTTAAAGTAGGTTTTTATTGTAAATTAACAACAGACGGAATTATTAAGTATTGTGATGCATAGAACAGAGAGATTTCAGTCTAGTATGAAACATCTCAGTAAGGAACAAGTACACTCTCACACAAAATTAAATGCTAGACTTTTACATTTAACAATAAATGCAATACTAATCAGCTTATGTTTATGCATATTAAAATTGTCAACATAATTCAGTTAGCTGTATGGCACCAGTGTCAACTAGTGATAGCAGTAAGTTACTGTTTCTTTTTCAGCTTCAATTGTGGTGGCCAATTTTAGCGTGTTCTTAGGCTTCGTAATTAGCTCGTCCAGACAATCGTTACTAAATAGCATGTGACCGTTTATAAATCAGAAGGTAAACTCGATGTGTTGAATACGTTTATTTTTGGGACACCACAAATAGAATAGCAGACCACAAGCAGACCAGGAAGGCACACTGGCGAGTGAATGGGCGAATATGCAAGTGAATTAATAAGATTAAAGTATTCGTATATATACAAAGTAAAATGTGTGAGTCATCGTGATATTTAAGAGATCAATATTAAAGCGAATAGGATGAATATGCGCGTAGGCGGTAAGCAATGCTCAGTCGTACAAGCTCATACAAACCACACAATAATAAAAGCCAAATGGCTTGGTTAAATAAATTAATCGAAATGCTAGACCAAATTAAATGTAAGCGAATGCAAATAAATGTGGAGGCACTTCACAATATTCTCAGAAATCGTAGCTTCTCTATAAAATATTGAACATTTTTTTTAGATGAATTCAGGAAAATATATGACCAAAGAATTTGAGACATATGAACACGTTAAGTAGTTGGAAGTAGTCAAGAGGAAATTATGAACCTAGACTTTGTGCTAATTGAGACTTGTTTGCAAGGCATACCTAATATCTTGAATTGATTAGTGCTCAGTCGTGGAGTATAACAGGGTCATCTACTTTCATAGTCCGAACAGTTAACGCCAAACCATTTGGACAGTGAATAACCTCTTGTAGGACTTAAACTAGTGAACACCTTCTAGCTTGATTGAATAAGGTCAATACTAGAGAAATAAATATACACAACATTGGTCACTACTCAATGATCGCTTATGAAAGTTTATGAAAATTTAATTGACTGCAGATTGTAAATATAAGATATTTTTATTATGTAAAAATTTAACTTTTGACGATAGATTATTTATCAGTTGCATAATGTGAATAATTTTGAAGTAAAATGATTCTGCACAAAAATTGCATTTATGGCATCCATTTTCTAGTGAAGTGTTTTTTTTTATTCTGTATTCTTTATCACCCACATTATGAATTGATTTTTTTCAAACTATTCATTATTCTCCATTCAAATAGTGAAATTAGTTGATTTTTCACTTTGATCTATAGAATTCTTTTTTCCTTGCAATAAATTTATCATCATATATAACATGAGATATTTTATTTATACAATGGTTTAAAAAAAACGAATCGCATTAAAAACGATCACTTTTTACACACACAAATATTGATGTGATTATGAAAGGAATTTTAGTCAAACAAAAAAAAATTCTAAGGTTATATTCAGTACATATATCGATTATTTCAGGTTGTATTTCAGTAAAGATTATTTTTTTTTTATAAAAACATAGCTATTTACATACAAACTAGTGTGGGTGTTTATCACAAAGTAAGCAAAAACTAACCCTCTTTTTAGTTATTAAAACAACTCATTCTAATTTGAAAATATTAAAGATTCCCATTGTGAAAATTAGAACAACAAAGTATGAATGAATGTAGCATCTAAAGTTTTTACACCGTTTAGTAAAAACAAATTTGTCAGGTTGTGCCAGCGAAACTTCGCAGACAAAAGGAGCTTGCCACCAAATGCCATTGGATTGATGAACACTGCCGAAAGGTATATTAGCGAGTGCAATCGAAATCATTCTAATGATGCTCGTTCTATCAATGCACAAACTGATGTGCAGTCATCCATGTTAAACGCAGAATCAACGGAATTATATGGGCCAAAGGAGAAAAGAACAACTTCAAAGAAGTCTGCCAGAAATAAATATTAAAGATTCCCATTGTGAAAATTAGAACAATACACATAAGCGAACAATATTGTTGTTTTCGATTAGATCGTCATCAGGCTTTACTCTCTAATATACAGGAATGTTTATATGAAGCTGTTAAACTAATCAAGGCAATCTGAGTCAGTAATCACAATGAAATGAATTAGATTACATCACTACACATAATAAGCAAAAGTACAAGTTGATAGTTGAAGGACAGGTGTAGTAAGAAAAATAAAATACGATAAGAAACGTTTTATTAATGGTAGGTCAAACGTGGATAAATAGGCTTAAAATAATCATTATAAAACATTAAAACCTCTAAGTAAAAAGAAGTGTGCACATAATTAGATAGTGAAGAATATTAAACGGAAAAAGGAAGAAAATTACCAACAAATACACGATGTGAAAATAAGGCTAGTAATAACGAAATAAAATTTTAAAAAATTTTAAACATCAGTTGGGTCATATCAGGCCACGGAAGAGATAGGGGTGTCACGAAATTCTTCTGAACACATAAATTGGGGTTGAATCTACCAATTCTTATGGCTTCTGCTATGTGTAGGAGACGGGATCGAACTCCGTTGAGAAATGATGAAGGTATACAATAGATCACCCGAAACGACCTAGACTTATATACAATATGACCACAATCACTCATATAGAACTGCGCACTGCTTTTAACTGGCGCTTCTTAAACCAAGTTAGGAAATGTTCACTCATTCGTTAATTAAGTTGTCTGGTAGTACGCTCGATATAGCTATCTCCACAGGAGCACTTGAATTTGTAAATACACATAGAGGAGGCTAACTCAGGTAACTTATCCTTCGTTTGGGTAGACATCACTGGTCGACTTTAGAAGGTCAACACAAGTTTGGCTGTGTTGAATGTTCTGCTAATTACTTTCGTTAATCTGTCCTGCAGAGTATCGCAGGCTTGCTGATGATCTAATCGAAAACAATGATGCTAAAAGAACTAAACTTTTAAATTCAGATGTTTAAAAAAAACTTTTAACTAATAATCATACTATTTAGATAGAAAATATTGTACACCATTTCTTAACATCGTATTCCATGCCAATAATTTTAATCGAATGACTAAAAAAAAATCATTTCGAACTTTCGAAAATCTTTTCAATTATCAATTTGTCTAGTTGATTAAATTTAAGAAACAGAAAAAAAACTACTTACTAACTTCACCAGTTAATCCAGCAAAATCTGATACAGTTGTTAATTTCTTTTTTAAATATGCCGATATTGGACCAGTATAGAGTGAATTAGTTAATTGTGTTTTACCAACAAGACTTGAACCAAATAATTTCAATTTTATTCTAGGCATACGATGTGTATCTTGTCTTAATTGTTCAATCCAAGCTGTACATTTTTCCTAGTAAATTTATACCACATTAATTATAATCATAAAAAGAAAAATAATTAAAAAATTTCAATTTGTTTAAAATAATTTTTTTAAATAAATCAAAAAATCGGATTCCTAACAATTTATTTGAGATTCAACATGTGAATATAATTTGATCAACAGTAATTGACCGTCTAATTTAGAAAATATTTAGACGAATTTCTGAAATTTAATGTTATATTATACAATGCAAAACAAATTCACTTCCATTCAGTGTTAACAGTTCATTTTCGAAAAAAGATTTCTATTTTGTTGTATAATTCACATTAATGTTTGATTTTTGAGTCTTTGAGCATTTTAATGTATGTCTCCCCTTGGATGCCACCATAAAAACATCATTGTATGATTATGAAATCGCTTTATTTTGTTATGATTAATGTGGTCTAGATATAAGAGCCCATTAATCTAGATTATTGATGTTGAAAGTTTTTAGTGTACGATTGTGAAAAGATCAAGCGACTTGACAATAAAAAGTTGCTTCATATTACAAAACTATGTACATGTATGTTAAATATTCTACTGGAATTCGTTTGAAATGTAGGTGGATCTTGGATTTATGAGATTATATGAGATACAGTCCTAAACAGATCATCCCGCTACATTATTTATCAATCACATTTCGATTTCTTAAAGAAAAATCACCACAATAATAGTCATTTTTGTGTTCGATTGGTATACAGATTGTCATTATTTTCGTAAGACCTTAATTTACACTATCTGTTAAGACTTCTACTTCAATCTAGTATTTTTCTATCACTTAAGTATTCCAAAGGAAAACAATGATACCTAGAGTTGTATTTGTCAATTTTTTGATTTTAAACAATTTCGATTAAATCGAGAACAATATTTGTCGTAGAATAATATGGATTGACGAAATAAATTAATTGAAATTATTCCGCGACTACCGTCGTTCCTGCTCTAATCATATATTTCCATGTATATAGTTTTATCAAAAGCAAATATCCATATTAAAATTTTAGACTGTAACAATCGTTTGTTTACAATTATGATCACCGCAAAGTTAACCGGCGAAATGAATAGCTACACAGATCTAATTAATATTAGTGAAGTATTTTATTAGAAGTGTATCTCTTATTATTAAAACAAGCACATTTTTAATACTCTGTGGTAGAATAAAACTAAACTTCGGTAAATAAACTACACTCAAATATTATCAAAGTCAAATAAATAAACAGAATAATGGAATAACCCAAAGTGTACTGAAACTAAACTCTCCGAGATTAAAACATACCGGTTTCATTTTTGTTAATAACATGCCAACTTTCGAATGACCTTGAGCATAGGCCATAACATCTGGTGCTATGCCATTCTAAGTAAATGAAAGAAACGCTTGAGCAGCAAATTTATAAGATTTTAATATAAAATATTTAGATTTAGACGTAGTTCTACAGGCACTTATCTTCGAAACGTTAATTAAATAGCGTAGTTTTATAAATGAGACAGAAAACTAGAACCCGGTTATTCGGTTCAGAACAACGTGGAACCACATACGGACGTGTTTCAATAATGTACAAATGATAATTTTACTAAACAGCTATTAAGAAACGAGAATCCAAAATTTAACCATAATATTTTCGTCAAACATTAAAAATATGCCACTTGTGAATTTTTTTTTAATAAATGCTTAATATATGTGTTCTTGAAAGTATCAACTACTGTCTAAAATGTCGTATGAAACATATTCAATGAAATTATATTGTTGCCATTTTTAATGCGTAAACTAATCATTTTAGTTATGTTGAATGGTATTCGGTTTAACAGCAACACTAGACTACTGACAAATTAATGAATAGATTATCTCAACAATTCTACATTTTTGAATTTATTGAAGTTACACGTTAGCACCATTGAACAGCAGCTCTGTGGTTTCGAAGTTGAAAGTTCGTGTGTGAGACCGAAAGCCATGGGTTCAATTCTCGGATAAGAAGTCTTAGGTGAGCACTTTTGAAAAGTTCTCTACTGCGATAAAACAGCCGTCTAGGGAAGGATTCCATGTTCTTAATGGTGGTCTAAATAAAATCAGTTCTTAATGTTAACTAAAAATAGGTTTATTTAAATTTTTAATCATTTTATAGGTGACATTCGCCTAAGATTGATATCATTAAGGATACCATTAAAGACTATGAAGCACTAAAAAGTCATTTCACTCTATTATAAGACTCCTTAGCAATGTACATCAACCAACTAACCAGGGTATAAACTCATGACTTTTTTGGTTTCGTGGAAAACACTTAACAATTAAAACCACTGGACCAGAATTCAGTGATACAATTTCAACAATCATCATTTTGTGCTATGACACAAAAGATCATTCTTACTTGTTTTAAAAAAATTTAAAACAATAATAATAATAATTTATGCTAGTAAACATACAACTTACACGGCTTGTTATACTGGGATCAGCACCAGCTAGGATAAGATAACGAACAGTTCTTAAATGTCCATGTTTAGCCGCCAAATGTAGTGGAGTGAATTCTGCCTAAAATTTTTAAAAAAATCATTACTATTCAAATATATATTCCTATCACTGCTGTTATTCACAACAAGATTAATAACATTATCGCCATTATTAACAGTCTGATTTTTATACTAATACATAAGCCTATTGTATATAAGATGGTTGAGAAAATTTGCAGCTCAGATGGATGATTGTGGTGGTGTTTCGTTCTCTGAGCTGGATCTTACGGTTGTGGAGCTTTCTTTTTCTCCTTCTGAACAACATCATCAGCACAAACTTCAGATAGAAGAAGTGAAGTATTCGAATTTCTCCACGTTTGGCCTGTAGCTTGTTCTGTTAATCTCGATCTTGATTGGTTGTTGTCGACCTTAAATCTGTCGTTGTTTGCACCTTTGTTTTGATTGTATCCCCCTTTTGATCAGTTTCTTGATCTTATGTCACATATTATTTTTCTGATAGGTTAGCAGAACAAGCTACAGGTCAAACGTGGAGAAATTCCAATACTGCAGTTCTTCTATCTGAAGTTTGTGCTGATGATGTTCAGAAGAAGAACAATGAAAGCTCCACAACCAAAATATCCAGCTCAGAGAACCAAACACCACCACTACTGTATATACGGATAAACATTAGTTTGTATAGAAATCGAATTTTTTGAATTAAATTTTCAATATTACAGCATAATTGTTTTAGCTTACAATCAACCAACCAAACAACCATTAACTTCTCATTCTCGTCAATTAAACGAATATTTATACTGTGATTGAGTATATATATATATATATATATATATATATAATCTAATTTATTCCCAAACACGAATCATCTCAAAAAGAAATCATCAAAATCTCATTATGATTACATATGATATCATATTAATATGATCATATAGTATTCGTTTATCAGTATTGTGAAAAAAAAGTATTATGTAAATAAAGAAATTTCTCAAAGAAAAAGTTAATTTATTAGTTTATATTCGATATATTTAGAAGTCTACTTTTTTCCACTGAAAAAAAAATGATAATAGAAATGAATATCTATGAATAAATGGGATTAAAGTTAATAGACTCCTATTCTATCATTTTGATTAAGAGACAATGAAATTTATCAATTCCAATAGAATATCAGTAAATACTTACAAACTTAATAACACTTAATTAGTTTACTTCTAGATGAATGAATATAATGAGTCTGAAAATTCCTTGTAGCTTATTAATAGGATCAGAAAATTTATAGGGGCAAAAAGATATCTGGTGAACTTCATTGGCAGACAATATAAATGCACACTTTTCGATACATAGTAGTAGCAACAATAGAAATACCACCCTTTGTGAAGCCTATGATTTATTTAAACGACTAGACTTTTGACTTATCACAGGAAGTTGTTTTATTTTGTCCATATATATATATATATATATATATATATATATATATATATATATATGTAGAGGGAGGGAGAAATATCCTAAGCTAGACTTTCAGCGAAAACCTGGAAACACTAAACATCTATTCCGTCCTAGTATGGGACTCAGCCGAGAGAATACACAAACCCTTGAGAAAAAATGGAACTCTATCACATTAGGTTATATGTAGGCCAGTGGGTGGGGTGGGAATTTGAATACAATACACGTCTAACTTTAGTCAATTCGCGATATTGTACGACCAACATTCACTGTCCTCGGTGAGTAACTACTACTACTACTACACACCCGACACGTTTGAACTACATAATTCAGCGCTTCTTATTCGAATTCCTTTATAACCCCTAGAATTTAGTTACTAGTGTACACGAAACAATTATTTGTGCTTCTAACATAGGTCTGTTTATGGTATTAGTAACAGTTGATCATCACCAAAAACCATCTAAAACTGATCGAAATATGTATCGGTTTTTGTATCATAAAAACTTTTTAGTCACAACTTACGTCACAATTTCAAGTAAGTAAGATAAAATCAGTGAAAGGTAAAAACATTTTGATGAAAACATTTCAGCATTATTCTCAACTATAGATCGATGGTCTTTCAAATTGTCAGTTAAGTTCAAAAAAAAAGTTGAAAAAACCAATTAATATTCAAAATTGTTCGCTTGATGCTTCATAAAAATAATGCATTTCCTCAAAACTACTTATCACTTCCTCTAAAAAAATCAATTCCATTAGAAAACATTAGGTTTTACAAAACTAAGTGGTTCAAATTTAGACAGTCTGAGACAAGAATACAAGACAATAGATTATAAATTATAAATTATAGATTATAAATCTTACTGTATTGAAAATATCAACATTTGATACCGCCCTGGAAAGTAGTTTAACAATCAAATAATCACCTTGAGCAGCAGCAAGATGAAGTGCAGTATTACCTTCCTAAAATATGAAGAAAATTATGATATTGGATAAAAATAAAACAGAAATAACTTGAAGTCTCCGTACTTCACAAAACATCAAACTTTAGAAAACTTGTTAAACTGTTTACTAATAGTCTCCACCACTTGCTTTCTAGTGTTATGAGCTTTTAAAAACTACAACTACAACAAGACTTGTCTAGTAGCTGAAAATCATCCATAACAACTAATCTTGCTTGTTAGTCATATAATATCAACCTAACAAACCAAACTATTTCTATTTTAAAATAAGCTCATTAAGTCAAATTGTTAAAATAGTCCTAAGGATTAGTTGCAAATGAATATCACCGGAATTGTACACGTTAACAAAATACACACTGCAGTTTCCAGAAATTCCCCATGATGATGGATCGACCATATTCTGAATACAAATAAAACTGATTAGGTAGGGATAAGACCTCGAATCTTCTAGAACTTTTAGGTACAGTGAGATTTTCAAAATACCGTATACAAACCTATGACATTTATTAGAAAATCACGCATTACCCGATAGAAAATTCTATTTATATATCAACATAAAGATAAAAATTGATCGAATTTGAATATTTCGGCTTCATAAGTGAAACACCAAATTGAGATTGGATAAACGAATGACTAAATAACATTTCATCAAGAATCACACTAACGGGACTGATAAATAATTCTGGGATAATGACGGCATTAGTCTAAATTATATGTGAAAATTAGCAGTGTAAAATACAGCCTGTGTAGTAATAAATCTAGTTCTGTGTTTTCAATGACTAAGCTTACCAGTAGTAGTGTATGCAGGTGTTTATCTACAACTGTAAAGATTTGTTGACATCCTATGGCTAATAGTGATTACGGGATAAAATATACGCCCTTTGACTGAAATAGATTTCTGTGCAAGGGATTTATTCACCTACTAAAGTGTGAACTAAACAATATTGCAACGAGTAAATAACAGGTTTGACCGACTTCCCTTAGAATTTGTTAATGAAACATCTGTGTGTAAGTTTAATTCGTCTCAAAGGTGGACCGCTCAAACACTTTGTAACAATAGTTCATGCCTTAACATTTAGGATCTTTTTAATTACAATGAAAAAGAGATGCTAAGAGAAAATATGCAATACAACTTTGATAATAATCCAGCAAAATTTATATATATATATATATATATATATATATATATATATATATATATGGTTAACCAAATGACTAAATTTCAACGTTTGAAAGTTTCTGTTAAATTCATATTTTTAACAGTGACTTACTTATACGGCAATATAACAGAGATGTTAGTTTAGAGCAAAAAATCTAGCGTCACTTAAACGTGATTGTTGTTTTTAGGAAATACAAAAATTTCAACAGGTTAATTTAGAAATGGAAATTAAGTGTATTCCCCTAAACAATTTCTTGCCTGTTTAACCTTATAATAAAGTGATGAACTATTCGATTTTAAGAAATTCAAAGCAATCGATATAAAATAGGAGGATATACGTCTTTTCTAATGTTGATGAAAATAGAATGCCATGAAAAGCCGTCATAACTGACTGTCTTAATGTTAAATTATAAGATAAAATTAAGTTAATACGGAAGAATTTGTTGTGTAAGTATTCGCTGTTAACCGATTACCGATTAATAGTGATGCGAAAATCGATACAACATTCTTGATAGCATGTAATTTTTACAATAAATTATATTCTGAATATGAAAAGTGAACAGATTGAAAGAAAGGTCAATGTAAGTACAAGGACACGTTACTAACAAATAAATCTATCAATGTAATCTAAATGTTAAATTTTAATTTAGCTAATAAATTGTTGCACGACTTAATAATACAGAGAAAACAAGAAACTGTAAGTCAACAAAATGCGATTTCTTGTACATCTATTTTTACATACATACATACATTCTAAATATGTAGTTGACAGACAGACAGATACAACACAGAATTTCGTACGTACGTACATCAGTTCAGGTTGCCATACCACATCAGCATACAGACGCAATCGTCAGTTCAAATCCTAGAGTGATAGCGATAGTAGAAGTATTAGCAGTGATGGAGAAGATTAGGAAGCGGAGATATGATTCGAGAAGTATGATTCAGTGAGATAAATTTAGAAGGAGAACGACAGAGATTATGAGGAATTCAGAAGGTTAGAATTAGAGAGAACACAAAGAGTGAATGCACCTACGCCATTGCAAACGATTCTGAGCCATGTCGTTCAAGGTCTCTAACCATTGGTGACTTTATGTAGTTAAAGAAATTCTCTGTTTAAAAAAATAGAGCATTTAGCAACACAGAGAGAATGTTATTTACATCTGTGTTCATGTTACAGATACTTTTTAAATCATAACCCCACGTTGTAATCTAACGACTTTTAATAGCAACGTATTTGATGATAACGCTTTCTATTTTATCCGCGTTCACTAAGTTACAGCTGTCCAAAAAAGTGTTTATAAATCCTCTTTGAAGGAATATTTATTAATTATTTACTAAACTGAACTTCGCAAAAAGGGATTATTGATTACAGACAAACGTATATCAAAATAATTAATGAAGATGATCTCGTTCAACAAGTAAATACTAGATGTAATCAAAATATCTTTGAAGCAAGGTGCTAATGACAGTTGTCAGAGACAACCGGTTACTAAGGCCATGAGAATTGAGTCATTAGCTAGAGACCGTTAATCTAAATGAGGATGCTAGAATGAAGTACAACTTATCAGGCATACTTCCGAGTGATAATTTCTTTTATATGAAATGTTAACAATTTAACTTTTAACTAGCTTGCCTCAAATTAGTAATCAATTGTTCAGTGATAAGTAGAACCAAACTGTCTTGTATACAGTAGATAAAAAAGTGAATCCAGTGATATACATGTTTCAACAGGTTTCAAGAATTCACATTATCACTTATCATTTGTATAATAAAACTATGCAAATAAATTAAAATTCCAAACCATACAATTCATCTAAATTACTGATTTTTTTCTTCTTTATACATTTTGAAACTTCAGTGAGTGATATGCTCGTCAACTGATATCCTTAAAATTATTACGAGTTCACCTAACTCGGTAAACGGAGCGCAGATAAAGGATGCAGTGACACGGTAGGCTATTCTAACCCAATTTTCCCAGGCACACTAACTAAATCAAGAGGTCTTGCTAAGGCGTAGAGAATGTTTTTTACAGACACCCTGAAAGATTGAGGTTGGCTGAGCACACAAATCAAGCTGATTTATACAATTATAGCAACGCCCTTGGGAGAGCCACGAAATAGTGTACTAAAATAATCCATCAACCAATGATAATCAAGGATTTTCCGAGTGGGAAGTGCAAGCTGAAGGTCAAATAACAGTGTTATGCGCGAAAATATAAAAAAACTCAAAATTTTAGAATAAATTTTAAAATTAGGACCTTTTCCAAGTGAGTTCTGGGGATCTAACGTCCCAACAGTCAGTCGGTATCGAAACAATTCAATATTATTTTAATTACTGATAAGCCTAGGAAATTCAAAGTAATTTGGATACACAAGTAGGTTAGCTTCTTTTAAAGATTAATATAACCCCTCAACTTTTGAAGGTGTTCTAGATGATGCGTTTTTTGGAATGCAATGAATCATTAATTCTGTATTATATGAGTCACAAATGACCAGTTTGAAGTGTCGAACTTCTTTGAATAATTAAAGTGTGAAATTAAAGGTAAGTTTTACTATTCATTCAAAACCACTTACACCATAAAAAAGAAACAAATCAATACACTCAGTCTTTATGGTTGATTGTAAATTCTAATAGATTTTGTAGTTATCAGGTTAATTTTATTGCCTCACTTTTGCCATGACTTTTTTGTTAAAATTTTTCTTACCTCATCTGTAATATCAGCTCGTGCACCAGCTAGTAGAAGAACACGTACACAACTCTCTGAACTAGAAATTACTGCGCATAGCAAAGGTGGTTTCCGATTCTGTGAAAATAGAAATAATGATTACAAGTGTTAATGATATGACAGAGAAGAGTTGATTGGATACATTTTTTACATTTTAGTCTAGTTAACCATAATTATATTGTATAACAAATATGTCTGATAAAAAAAAATCGAATTCAGTAACTTTCACAGTTGAAATCATGACCTGGTCGTATCTGAACCACCATTGAAAACCTAAAACACACCTGAGAATCGATACACGGTAGTGGATGAGCACTGCCTGACGTGTCCCGTAGTTAAGATCAGTTCATGATTTAAACAATAAGAGTTCTACAACTTCCACAAATACCCTCCATTTCAAAATTCAGTTACAAGCAACTCATTCATCTAAAAAATTATAAGTATACCTTTTACTATAAGATACATTATTAGTGATACTAACGAACTAATCAAATTGAATTTGAAAAATATCTAAATGAAAGATTTACTTAGCCTTTATTATAATAAAATAAAAATATAAAAATTCAATTTTCTTTTGAAAATATAAACCATCAGTTACACATAATATTTCGTATCTGAAATCTTTCTTATCATTTTTTAAAAGAGAAAGAACAAGGATTTAGGTAGATAGAATAATATAGATTCATTCAATCTATTTAAATTCTCATGAGCAGCTGTAGTCAAAAAATTTTAAAATACTCATACAGATGAATTTTATGTTATATTGCATAATACTGTGGAAATTAATGTAGAAAATCTAATCAGTATGAGTGATTATTTACCAAGCTCAGAAAAAAACAACACGGAAATTCTCAAATATGAATGAGACGAAAAGAATGAATCTAGGAAGGAAGATAGTGAAGAGGAGAGAGACAGAGAGAGAGAGAAAGTAAAGAGATTTCTCTAAATAGATTTTAATTGATGAATTGATGTGATAACTACGAACATAAACAATAACAAATAATAATTAAAATAATATTTAATCAAGTAATGTGTAAATTCAGTCAGTCAGTTACAACATGGATAAGTTCAGGTCACCATACCGCATCAAAGACGCAACTGTCAGTTCAAATCCCATAGTGGTAGAGATAGTAGCAGTATTAGCAGTAATGGAGAAGATTAGGATTTGAAGATATTAATCAAGAAGTATAGTTCAGTAAGATAAGTTGAGTAGGACAAAGGTAGAGGTCTTGACGAATACAGAAGATTAGGATTTGAGAGAACACAAAGAGTGAATACAAACAACTTTGAGTCATGTCGTTCTAGGTCTCCAACCGTCAGTGACTATCGTCTCGCAGACCCCAACCAGGTAGACTACATCTACCAACATGACTCAGTCAACTCGTCAGTGACTTCATGGATTTCTGACATGTTTTGGTCTGGCCGCACCTAGCTTTCTTTCAACCCACTCCTACATCACAAAACATAGCTCGACGAGGCAGTCGATCGTTAGGCATACGTAACATATGTCCCAAGATGAAGTTTCACTACTGCATCTACTGATTTGCCATCCCTAACAAGAGCTCCTTTCCTAAAGACAGCATTGCTCATACGGTTGTTCCAGGATATACGAGCAATGCTTCGGAGACACCTATGATCGAAGACTAGTAACCTACTAATGTCTTCTTTTCTTACCGGCCATGTTTCGCATCCGTATAATAGGACGGAGCGAACTGCTGAACAGTACACTCGTCGTTTGGTCAGCAAACTGATATCTCACCTGTGCAATTGGTGACGCAAGTTGGCAAAAGCCAATCGAGCCTTCTGTATCCGTGCTGCAATGTGTAAAGAATGGCCTCACAATATCTTATATGGTGCTTTCTTCACAGATTATAATCTAATAAGCACTTAAATAGTTCAATGGTAAAGTCCCTATCTGTGCCTACAAATGATGCCGGTTTTAATCCCGTTATGGACATTTATAATTGTGGATATACCTTGTTAAAGAATGGCCATTATTATCATATCTCGATCTCATGTAATCTTGTGAAGTTGCAGCTTCATTTTGAATGTAACATTTTTAGATCGAGAGGTTAAAATGAATACTTGGTGAAATCCGGTCTCATTCGGTGTGTTTATCTTAGTCCAGAAAGCTAAAAACACTCATTCATAAACTGAATTAAAAAACTAATGAGAGCAAATTAAAGATACTCGATTATTTTTTACCTTGTTACGAACTTCCAGAGGAGCACCAGCATTACAAAGAGATAATGCTACATTTGAATGATTCGTTAAACATGCCAAATGTAATGGTGTATTACCATTCTATGAAGAGAAAAAGTTTGCAATGATAAAATTACTCAAATGAATCATTTTAAAAATACTAAATTATGAAAAATATGATTTTATCCCGATCAAATATGAAAATTAAATTTTTAAAAGTTTTTTATTCATAATAACAAAAAATATCATTTTGTTACGTTCAGAATAATGTTCAATTTGTAGCGGCTAGTCGTTTTTTTTCTTTTAAGTTAACTGATATACTCTCCAGTTGATATGCTTGAATGCCATTACGAGTTCATCGTACTCAGTAAACGGAACAAAAGCAATGCCTCAGTGACATGATAAGCTATTCTAATCCGTTAGTCCCAGCCCCGGCTAACTACATCAAGAAGGTTTGATAAGGCGGAAAGAATGTATTTTACAGGCACCCAGAAAGATTCAGGTTACTAAGCACACAAATAAGTCTTATTTATACAATCATAGCAAGAGTGTACTAAAATTATCCATCAACCAATGACAGTCAAGGATTTTCCTAAGGAAAAATGTGAGCTGAAGGTCAACTGGAGAGAAAACATGGAAATTCACAATTTCGAAATAAAATTACAATATTAGGACCTTTTCCAAGTGACTTCTGGGGATCTAACGTCCCTAACACTAACAATAAATCTTTAAAAAAATATGAAAGAAGAAATTGACTTTCAATGTTTCTATTATTTATAACAGAATAGGCCATAAAACAATCTTAACATATAACTTAGTAAGTGTACATCTCTTTCTATAGTAGAAATTTACGAATCAGTCATTTTTCCACTTCATACGTTGTCCCATTGATGAGTTACACATTTTAATTATATGATTTATTGAAAGATTTATCTATTTCCTCTTTAATTTTAAGGGATTAGAAAAAAAATTGAGAATCGGAATCCATGTGAATACCCTTTAAAAAAGAACAACATTGTTTTGTCATTCGACATCATCCAACAAATAACAAATTTAATTTTTTTTCTAAAAAACAAAACTAATATGGAACATCTGTGTCCAGTGAGTGCAGTTCTGTATTTTTTTTTCAATTGACGTCAATCGATGATAATAACAAGTAGCCTTTCAACTACGTCATTTTACTTGAAAGTAGAAAAACAAATAACGATTGCCTACATATAAAACTAGTTTTTTTTTTACAAAACGTTAAAACAATGGGATGATGGTATATGTCTACAATAATCATGAAAATAATAGATGCCGGCTCAGTGGTCCAGAGATTAGGCGTTCGCCTACAATACCGAAGGTCTTGGGTTCGAATCCTGCGGGGTGCAGGAGTTGTGGACGCGCACTGCCACTGATCAGTCCCATACCAGGACGAAACAGCCGTCTTTCAGTGTTTCCAGGTTTCTAATGGTGGTCTAACATTGATCGATTCATGGTTTCAAAAAATGTGTAACTTAACAATCTTCGCAACCCCGTAATGCATAAAAATAATTATCAAAAATTCGGCATCTGTTTTTTTATTATTTGTATAAGCATTGAATTACATGGCACAGTTTATTACAAAAAATAGTGCCTTATCTAAACAACCACTGATGAGTTAGATCAACAATGAAGTCGACAGCTAACACATTTTACATGTTTAACTTCAATCATGATACAGTTTTGTTATCAGCCAAGAGAAATAGTCAGATAGAATTAATTAAGTAGTGAAATTATAAACATGTATTTTTCAAGAACTTTTATGCTCATACAACTTTTCTTGATTTAGTGCATACAATCAGTTTAAAAACTAATTTCATCTACTTTGAATATTAATATTCCTCTTTGATTTACTTTTTGGATTATTTTTAAAAGAGATTAGAGGATGGATGATAAGGAAAAAAATTGATTAGTTACTCTTAAAAATAAATTAACTATTATATATTTTTATGAAGTATGTATTAAGTGACAATTTTATCATATAAAACTAACTAACTAACTACTCTAATTTTATTGTTTATTCATAATTACAAGTAATTTTATTTTTTGACGCATAAATTACTTTCATATCAGAAAATGTCTTTGTTATTGTATGCATTTAGAAAGTTGGAAAAAAATCAAGCATAAACTACTCTCCGTTTATCGATTGTATGATGCAGTTGTCCTCAAATGATGTTAGTCAGTCAATAAGTCAGTCATTTGTAACATAGAATTTAGCATTTATATTCATTGGTTCAAATTACCATTGTATAATAACAAAGAGAGATAATTTTCAATTACAGTTATGGAGATTAGTGTTTTGACACTTTTGAAATCATCAATCCAGCATTGTTAAACCACCATTAGAAACTTGAAAGCACTGCAAGGTCGTTTCGTCCTACTATGGGACCCATCAGCAGTGCGCATCCACGACTCCTGCCCCTCTCAGGATTCGAACCCGGGACCTTCGGTATTGTGCGCAATCGCCCAGCCATTGGACCACTGGGTTGCTGTGTGCGTTCGCGCACAATACCGAAGGTCCTGGGTTCGAATCCTGAGAGGTGCAGGAGTCGTGGATGCGCACTGCTGATGAGTCCCATACCAGGACGGAACGGCAGTCCAGTGCTTCCAGATTTCTAATGATGGTCTACCAACGATGATTTCGAATGTGTAAAGCGAGATATGATAAGTAGTAACAGTGCTGATATAAAAACGACTGTGATTTTATTTTTCAAGTACGCAGTACGTTCAACCACCTCGAAAAGTGATAACATCTCTTTTTCTGATTAGTTTTGTAAAGAAACGTAAGAGCGGCCAAACCAAAACATATCATTTATTTTCGTTGTCCTTAATAATAAGTCTTGAGGGAATCGAAAAAAAAAAGTTGTAATTAGTTTTTAAATCCCAATGAAATATATTCTCGATATGTCTAGGTACACAGTTTTTTTGTTCAAGTATATCAAGAAGACATAGCATGCTGAGAAATAAATTATCACTGGTTGTAACCACAGCCCAACTTAAATTTAAATGTAATGGCAGAATGATGATCTATTAAAGCTGACTGTTGTTAAATCGGCAAACTAATAGTTTAACTATCTATCTTAAAACAACAATAATAACCAAATTATAATACTTTCAAAAATTATTGCCAATATTGATAAACAAGTTTGAGTGTACAAGAAAGAGTGTAAAAACTGTTCATTAATGTGGTGCCTGAGTGATTAACCAATTGAAACTAAAGTTGTTTTTGATTTTATTGTAGAGTATAGATTGTCCAGCAAAAAAAAAACAATATACCATTAGAAATTTCTATCACTCATCATTATGTACTACTACTTATATAACGGAAGCAATACATAGTATTCTCACGAAGCATAGGTTTGTACATGTTCAAACTATGTACAGTAGCCTAATGCAGACAAAAACATTATTTTAGACTTTAGTAAACACGTTTACACTTCCTGTATGTAAGACATGTGATTTGGATAATAAATGGTTAAGTGTTTAAACTAATCAATCAGTGAAGTGGGAAAAATATTGTGTCTATTAGTTTTTCTTCTCTGTTTATCACCTTCCCTTGATCCCATAGATTTTTCTTTTTGGTAACGGAAATTAAATCTGAAAATAAAATTCCCAATTTCAGAATATGAAATTAAACGGTAATATTTCATTCTAGCAGTTGATTGTGTTGACTATTCTTTGGAAAAGAATGTATTTCGAGTGAAATAATTGTATATGTATATATCGATTTTATACAACTGATTAACTGATTCAACTAAAAGATCGGTGTTTATAGGGGAATGTAAAAGTTGAAAATTAATCACTATAACTATTTAGTGAATTCTGGGTTATTTTTTCTGTTGCTGTTGTCGTTGTTTTGAAATGAGAAATTATGTTAACAGATTCTAAATAATAATGTCAACCAAGAGGAATGATTAGTTTGTAGTGCCTCCACATGTGTTCCAGTTCACTTACATTTAATTTGATTAAGCCTTTTGATTAATTTATTTAACCAAGTCATTTGCATTGTAACAACTTACGTGTACCATTCGTTTTTATTATTATCTGGTTTCTCTGATCTGGTACGACTGAACATTGCTTATGAACATACGCTTACTCATCCTTTTCGCTTTAATGTTAATCTCTTAATATCCTCATGAACTCACACGACTTGTCTCGCTTGCTTTTGACCTCGTCAATCATTCGTCGCTTTTATTCATGTGTGCATGTCTATATTGCTTGTCATATGTCTGTCTTAATTTTGTCTGACTATAAATTCCTAGTCATGCTTTATCTCTTGGAATCGGCTCAACAGCCTTCTCCAATTCACGTCGCTTCATTCGTTTTATTCACTGCTTCTCCGCTTCGCTTTGTGGTGTGTCCCAAATAAACGTATTCAACACTACAAGTTCGCCTTCTGATTTATAAACAGTCAGACGCTAGTTAGTAACGATTGTCTGGACGAGCTAATTACCGAGCTTAAGAACACGCAGTAAATCGACACACTACAAGTTCTAATCATATTTAGTCATACTTTATTTTTTCATTATCTGAATTGTCATCACCGAACATGATCTACGCAAATACGAGTAGACTTTATTTCTATCGCGAGTCTGTGCTGATGATGTTGTTCAGAAAAACAACAAAAAGCTCCACAACCGAAAGATCCAGCTCAGAGAACGAAACACCATAACGAATAGACAAATTATATAATTTTACATTTAAAAGAATACGTTTTTTACCTTGTCGAGAAATGTGAGTTGATTTACTTGAACATCAATAATATAATCAACAATGAGTAACAGTCCCAATTTAGCAGCAATATGAAGTGGTGTTTCACCGTCCTGTTTAATGAACAATAAAGTGGGAAATTTTAATTAGTCTTTTTAAAGAATGAATATATGAAAAAAACTGGCTGACATAACAGCAAAGTGACTGGGAATAAATTCCATTGTTGTTTTTCATTTTGACGTTGTACCTGAGAACTAATCGGAACGAATCGGGCATTATTATGTTCTCCTCAACGCTTCTCTTATTCATAGTACTAACCTAAGGTTTACTTACATAAAGACTTGAACAATAGAAAGTTTTCTACGAAAGGAATGTCACTCTATCCTGCTATGGACGTGCATTACAGTCAGTCAAGATGAAAGAAAAATTACAGCATACCATAGATCAAATCTCGAATCAATTCTACAATAAACATTATTACAAAATAAGTACAATTTAGTGATTAAATGAACGGGACATGACCGTTATTGAAATCGTCAACTGATCAATATTGGACCATCATTCGAAGCCTGGGAGCAATGAACAGCCGTCTCGTCCTAGTTTTTGAGTCCAGCAGTGCGTACCTATGACCCCGCGTGATGTAATCGAACCGAGGACGATATTGCAGAATATCGTAGATTAATCCAAGTCAGACATTAACGCCTTTCGATGCCGACTAAGTAGTCTTGAGGTTAGGCGTTCACAAACCAGGCCGAATGTCCAGGATTGAATTAGTGATAGAAGGGTCGTGTATAAGCACTGTTGATGAGACCAAAACTAGGACGAAACAGTTGTCCAGTGCTTCTAAGTTCTGAATAATGGTCCAACATTGATTAGTTCATGATTTTAATGAAACTCAAAAATCACCACAACTATATACTGACAATGACAATTATTACTAACTGACCATACTTGCAGTTTATCCCCACTCAACAAACTCGTGTAGTAGAGTAAAAAATTACATTTTCCAAAACATGGGACTGATAAAGTATCACAAAATTAATGAGATCAGCTAATAGGAGTTGAAAATGAAACTTTTCGATTTTCGCGCAACATTCCAACATTACATATAAAAAGCGGTAGAAATCCTTTTGTATACTACTCAAAACATTTATAGTGTCTATTTTTTTAATCACAGAATAAAAATGTAGGTGTAAAATCTGTTCACTTAATAACCAACGAAATAAATCTCATTTATTTTCACATAACAATATAACTATATTGTATATTCCATTATCATAAGAATACTCTTATAATTAATAATAGTTGAATCCAAAAATACTGACAATGACTATACTTCTAAAAAAAAAGATGATGAATCTGATACAATTTCAAGGATTGATCATTATTACACAATGACATTTTAACAATAATAACCGTGAGCAAATAAAAAGAGAAAAAAAATGGAAATTTGTAAGGACGGTAAATGAAAATGGACCAATGATATAAGTCTACATCAGACAGGCAGACAGGCAGACCGACAGATACAACACAGAACTTCGTACATAAGTACATTAGTTCAGGTTGTTATACCACATCAGCACAGAGACACAACTGGCAGTTCAAATCCTAGAGTGATAGCGATAGTAGAAGTATTAGCAGTAATGGAGAAGATCAGGGAGCGAAGATATGATTCAAGAAGTATAATTCAGTCAGATAAATTTAGAAGGAGGAAGATAGAGATGATGAGGAATTCAGAAGATCAGAATTAGAGAGAACACAAAGAATGGATGCACCTGCGCCATTACAAACGATTCTGAGCCATGTGCTTCTAACCACAGGTGACTATCGTCTCGCAGACCCCAGCCACGTAGCCTACATCTACCAACATGACTCAGTCCACTTGTCAATGACTTCATGGATTTCTGCCAAGTTTTGGTTTGACCACCCCTAGCTTTCTTCCAACCTACTCCTACACCACAAAACATAGCTCGTTGAGGCAGTCGGTGGTTAGGCATAAGTAACACATGTCCCAACCACCTAAACTGATGAAGTTTCACAACCTCATCTATTGATTTGCCATCCTTACCTAGAACTCGTTTCCTAACGACAGCATTGCTCATAAGGTTGTTCCAGGATACACGAGCAATACTTCAGAGACACTTATGATCGAAGACTAGTAACCTACGAAAGTCCTCTACTCTCGACGGCCATGTCTCGCATCCGTATAGTAAGGCGGAGCGAACTGTTGAACATTACACTCATCATTTGGTTAGCAAGCGGATATTTCGCCTGTGCCATAGGTGACGCAGGTTGGCGAAATCCAATCTACAAGTCTACATTACAAACTATATAAAAATTTCACAAAACTAAGTACTCAATTAGAATAGGTGTTCACTACTTGGAGTTGCCACCTACATTACAGAAATTAATGAAGTTCAATAGTCACAACAATAGCTTTTGCTACTACTACTACTACTACTACTACTACTACTACTACTACTACTACTACTACTACTACTACTACAAGTCACCGTACATAATAAATTCAACTTCAACAATTATTATTCATCACAATATACTCACTTTATTAACTGTATCCAAAGGAACATCATGTTCAGCTAAATAACGAACAATTTTTAAGTGTTTTGAAATGACAGCAATATGCATTAAACTGTTCCCATCCTATAAGTTACAAAAAATACAGGATTTAAAAATAATTTATAAAATTACGAAGATACAATATTATTTAATAGACAATAAAGTAAAAATTACCTTTTTACAAAAACAATAATAAAATATGACACAACCAATTATGAATAGCATGGCATGTGAAAAAGATAAAACAATTTAAAATAATGACTACTATTTCAAAACCAATATAATTCAATATTTCAATTGATTTAATCATTATCTATTAATAAGTTCAAGTTTTTATTTCAGTTTGATGACTAATTTCCAATGTTGGGAAAGTGAAATTCAGTCTGGAGTTTATGAATTGTTTAGGTATATTTTAGTTTTTTGATTTGATGGCAATTATCGTGATTCTAAACAACAGTTTGTTTATAAAAGCAGTATTTTAAAGTTTGTCTTATAATAAAGGATCCAATTCTGCATAGTTTATGTATAGCTTAGTGACGACTGTTTAACCGAAAAAATATAAACAGATATGTCCCTATACGCACATTCATGGGTTACTCAGTGCTGGTTAACGTCATGACTATCAAGTTCGATTAGAACATATTCACTAATCTAAGTAACTCCATTTGTTTAGATATTAATGTCCACTGGTTTAAATCGATCAGGTGGCATCAACTGTCTGAAAGTCACAATTACAACTTGTCGACGAGTGGCAGCTACCAAGAAGAATAGGTGTAGAGGGTTTATTCCAGAAAATCTACAACCGTTGAACTGGTCTTTATACTTCATGATACTTGAGTGACCTTTAGATTATTTTGCTACTACTACATAATAAAATTTAGTTAGCATGACACTATTCTTATCCTGTAAAACTTCATTTGTTAAGCAAAACTAGATGAACTAAAGTACCTATTCACTTAAAATATCTTCTGTCGAGTGATTGCCTAGTGACTAAAATGTCTCACTTTCAACAGCTCTTTGTTAATTTGAATTTCAATATTTTATTCATTTCAAATTCAGGAAATCTGATATAAGTATGACTAGAACTTCCGCATAAAAACTTATGACTAAATACAGATTGTCATGAGTAAAAAAGAACCAAGATATTTAATTTCTAAATGACATAATTATGAAGTATTTACATCTAAATTAATGTAAAAGTTCACAGTAACTTTGACTAATTAAATAGCATGCCCTATTGTAAGATTAGTAACTATAAACTTGTAACTATACAGACTAATCGCAAAGTTATTGACAATGATTGTTCGCTTTAATATCCTTTCATTTTAAGCGTGTAATTGTTTAAAAATTGTCTAATTCAAAATAAATTCCTCTGTATAGTAAAATTCTTATGGATATTTATAAATTTGGATTTTAAATGTTTGAATGAATACTGAGATAACATTTTAGATCAAATTAAGATTTGATGCATCCACTGATAACTCACACACACACACACATACATAGAGAGAGAGAGAGAGTGATTGTACTAAACAACAGAAATCTTAATGTGTTGAATAAATAAAGTGTAAACTTTTATCATCATCATCAAGCATTACTTGGCTCTGGGCAAAGTTGTTCTAACAGGAAAAGAAAAATCATTTCATGTGATTTCCTTTCTATACAAACTTGCATATGTGGGAAAACAAATAAAATTTAATAGATAAGTAAAACAATTTCCGGTTTTTAAAAATTAATGTTTAATACTCATAGTTGAAATGAACCAATAGTCAGAAACAAAAAAAAAGAAACTTATGAAGTAGTTAAATAAACTGAAATATGTTTCAGTGAAGAATGATTTTTATTTTTTTTTGATGGTATTATTTATTTGAATTGTACTGAAGAATTGTTATGTTCGTCACTAGGTACGCTTGAAGCTATTATGAGTTCACCTCAGTCGATAAACGAGAATGAGACAATGAGCCAGAGCCCAGGTGGGCTACCTTGATCCAAAAATGACAAACAAGAAGTCTTGATAAGCGTAGAAAGTATATTCTACAACACCCAGCAATCACACAATACAATCAAACACACAACTCTTGTTTATTTATACATCATAGAAACATCCTTGGGACAGTCACAAAAATAGCACACTAAAATACACATCAGCCAATCACACACAGCCCAAGGTTTTCCTGGTGGGAAATGAAATCTCATGGTCAACTGATCAGCTCCATGCTCGCAAACGTGAAATCCAAGATAAGGCATTTATCAATGGGAGTTCTGCGGATCTAACATCCCCAACAAGTATTTATAGTTTTTAGACTTATAGGGGTTTATTATGATAATACTGAAAAATTACATTATCGTCTATATAACACAGATGCTAGAAGTCATTCACGATCGAAAGTCAGGTGATGGTTAATGCGTATAAAGAATGAAATAACATATGAAAATAAGATCTGAAGAATTATTCATTTGACAATTACAAGGAAGATAAGAGTCTTGAGATGGTGGAGAAAAGCTGTAACTCAGGTGGATGAGTTTGATGGAGCTGGATGTTTTGGTTGTGGAGCTTTCATTGCTCTTCTGAACAAAAGCGTCAACATAAACTTCATCAGTTTATGCTCAGAAAACGAAGCCCCACCAGCGGATAAGAAACTGAACAAACTAAGTGTTAAAATGAAAGACAGAACAGTGTTTCGAATATATATATATATATATATATATATATATATATATATATATATATACTGCTAACACTTGATTTTTTATTTCCAGAAAAGCTTAACAATCACTGAAATGTTCTCAAGTACACAAATGACTAAAATTCCCATAAGCAAAATAAATCTCCTTGTCAAAATTGATGATAAAATATGTTAAATTATATTTATTACAAAAAACCTGATAATAAAAGAGCACTTCTTTATTCTTAGTATGTAAATCTTGTACGAATTGTACGAATCTATATTTCACATCATCAACTGACTTCAGCTTAACAATGATTATCTAAACTTTAGCTAATTATCATTTTTCGATGTGATATTCAACGATTCTGTTTAGCTTTGGTTCACTTAACGTCGATTTTTGTTGTTGTTAGTAATATTCGATCGCCTATTTATTTTTAAACTTTTTAGGATATGAGGATTAAACTCAATAGGGGTCATGGATGTACATTGCTGAAGAATCCCATACTGAGATTAATCAGTCATCCAGTAAGTCACGGTTTCAAATCATGGTGGTCTAGTTAATGTCAACTTGTGATTTATTTTTGACAATTCCTCAGTCTGAATAAACTTTTCGCGTACATTGTTTCTCTTAAACTGTGATATACAAAACGTTCAACAGGCCTAAGACACCAATAACTACCCCCATATTTGTTCATTTTCGTTCCAAGTAGTCATATTCTCAAAAACTCTAACTTAATATGTAATAGTTACATTCTCAGACAGACGTTAATTCAAATGAAAAATTGCTATCTTTAGAACTGATACATCCCTACCTAGTTTCTAGTCCTTACCAAGTGACACCTGTGAAATAATCAAAACAAAATAGTGTTGAGATTTTGAAAAATCGTCCTAATCATTGTAACAAATAAAAAAAAAATTGAAAGAAGAAATATCAGTGGTGAATCAATTTTCTCTTGGGTTTTTTTTACAAAATTTACCAAACCCAACTGACTTATTATTTTCCAATGTTCAGATATATTCGGTACTGTATTGATTCAATACAAAAACACATTTTATTACATAACTAAACTTCCCTAACACATAGGAAACAGTTTATTGTGATACTTATTCACATTATTTATAGTTCTATATACCCAACTCTTATTATCAGTTGGCAAATATCCTATTATATACTGTTAATTTTTTGTAAAATACATTTTCTTCAGACAGAGTTTTATAGAAACTAGTAAAAACTTAGTTTTGGTACACGCGCTATCTTTATTTAAATATCATGAAAAAGTTTCTGATCATGGTACTAATAGAGCTAGCCGAAATATTTTATTCACAGATTTAGCTTTTATTCAGTGGTACATAAACGGAAAAAGGATGATTGACTTGAATCTGCTATTATTTTTTGACGGTTTGTTAAATATATATATATATATATATATATATATATATATATATATATATATATATATATTACAAATGTATCTTTAAAAATAGATTATTTCATTTTATAAAGCTTTTTATTCATAAGTTTACATGAGAAAATAAGTTTTCCGAGTCTATTTCTTGTCAAAACAATAAAACAGTACATTTACAAAAATGGAGATATTTAGCATAAATTGTCGGCTTGTATTATCTGGTATCAACCTCACTAACAAGTAATAAATATGGATGGTCTTCATTGTGGAGTAGTATTAGCAAATGAAGAACCATGAAGAACTGGTAAACACTAGATAGCTATTTTATGGTGAGTAAAGGGTCTTTGTGAAAAATTGTTAAATAGGGGAGCCACGGAAAACTAACGTATACCAAACAGATGTTTCATTCTTGTATGGAACTTCTCAATAGTGCACATTCACAATTTCAATGAGTATCGGATCCATGCCTGCAGATCTTGTTGACAGCAGCTACTTTTTAGGCTACTGATTTGATGTTTAATGGTTTACATTTCTACCTTTAATCGATTCACGATACTACACAATCATCTTCCAAAACCATTAAGAGGGAACTGTTTTACTTCTGAATTAGCTGGAGAAAACTGATCATAGCCTCTCATTAGAGCTTCAAGAATTGACTCACGATATTAATGAACTCATGATTATCATAAATATGAGGTTTGTGGAGGCCGTTGAATTTTTTCATTTACAAGGAGTGAAACTAGTTAGAAATCTGTTGTAAACCAGGAAACACTGAACTTTTTATGAGAAATGGATGAAGGTCACTAGTGGAATCCAGTGTGTTTGTTTCGTTCGGTTTGGGACTCGTCAGCTGGATGTACCTGCGTCTCAGAGTCGATGTTCACTCCAGAACGTTCACTTCAAACGGCATCGCGTTATCCATTTACCAACTAAGTCCAGGTAGCCATTCGCCTGCGCAATGGGCTGGTGAATTCATTTGAATTGGTTGTTTGAATCTTCAAGTTGATGTTTAGGACTGCAATTAATCAGTCTCTTTGGTATGTTTACCTCGATTTGGTCTTTAGTTTGCGAAGATTACCAGCAGAGATGTTTGACAGCTAGTATAGGGACGTTAACTCTGAAATGCAAATGATTTCCAAATAGGACGAAGGGTATGTTCCAGATTCGATTGCATGCTACTATCCACCTTTGTAAATAATACTTGTAACCTAAAGGCAATATCGAGGCAATCCGTACAGGATGTACATATGCCAAAGAGACTGATTAATTCAATCCTAAACATTAATGGGAAGATTCAGACAACCAATTCAAATGGATGGAACTTTTTTTTTAAAAACTTCTCGACAGTAAACCTTTAGGTGTCATTACAAGAATGACAGTAGTCAGATATTATAGTTAAAAATATGATCTGTATTCACAACGTCAATATTCCAACACTCTATCATTTCAAAAAATAATCTATTCAAATAACACATTTATTTTAAAAAGATCACACTTGCATTCCAATGAAATCAACTTTCTACAATCCTGATTAGTTTGAACTCACATCAAAATACATTACTATCAAACAAAATAAGTAATTAGGCCACATTTAGGAGATTTAACAACCAAGTCTCATCTTTCCTACATATCTTCTTTCTTTTTACAAGAAGATAATAATATTTTGTTTGATTTTGTTTAAACGAACAGAATTCCCTTTTTTCATTGACCTCTTAATTTATATCGGAGTTAATTAAAAGGGTAAAATATTCGAATAGCTATTACTATTACAAGAATTTCTTATCATAAATTATTATCATCAAAAAAGAAAACAATTAGGAGGACATTTTTTGTAAGTGAAGAGATTTGACCACGTAAAATGAACTAATCCGTGAACATCTGTCACATATTCTGAAAAAAATATAAAGTTATGAAATCTTGAACCGTTTTTATTCATTGATTAAAAAGAATATGTTGTGTATTGATAACGAATGATAACTGCGAAACTGAATGTAATTTAAGAGAAATGATTACCGTTTATGTGTTTCTCCTAACTTTTCAATACTTATACACAGAAACATTTCAACATACAATGAGATTTTATCAATGTCTGTTTTTTTATGAATTGAATATTTAGGAGACGAAATTAATGTAATTTTACTGGGATATACATTCTTGAACTCTACTTGCAGCACTTCTAGGGTTACTACGGGTCCTGTGCCCCGATGAAGGATAAGGATCGGGTATGAGGCTATCAACCTTGTTAAAAATACGCTAACCCTTTAACATCTGCCGTGGAAGTTAGGATATCTTCATTAAGAATAGTTATCACCCCTCATGGTGAAAACCGAGTTTCTTCGGATGTGATGAGATCGATAACTTTTCTGACAACAGAGCAACAATTTACATTCATACATTGTTCCGCGCAATGTAAAAGACTGGGAGAGCTATTCAAGTTACATTAGAAATGTGAAAAGACAACCTGGTGGTGCTGGGAATAAGTTAGACTTATCGGACGCATGACAGTCATAAAAGAATAGCTTCAGGAGAGATATTGTTATACTTCAGCCATGAAGAGGAAAATGCCTTAAACTTGCAAGTAATTGCACTAATATTGTCTAAAGAAACCCGAAAAATGCTCATACGATGGGAATCTCATGGACTCAGGATTATCATTGCATCCTTCAAGAAGAAGAGAGAGATGATCACAATGAATGTCATTCAGTGCCATTCGTCCACCAACGATAACAATGAAGACGTTAAAGATCAATTTTATAAGAGGCTGGAGTCAATCATCCGTGTTGAACAGCCAATTGAATGGAACTCACCATTGCACATCAACTTCATTGACTACGAGAAAGCAATAGATAACGTGGACAGGACGACACTGTGGAGGATCCTTCGACATTATGGTGCACCTGAAAAAACAGTTAACCTAATACAGAATTCTTACAATGGATCACACTGTAAAATCTTACAAGGAGGACTGCTCACAAGCTCATTCCAAAATAAGACCAGCTTCAAACAATGTTGCTTACTCTCATCTTTTCTCTTTCTCATAGTGGTTGATTGGAGTATGGAGACGTCAACACCTAATGAGGAGCACTGAATACAATGGACAGCTAGGGTGCAGATGGACGATTTGGATTTCGCAAATGATCTAGCTCTTCTATCGCACACGCAAAAACAAATGCAGTAGAAGACGACCAATTTAGCATCAGTAAGTCTCAGCATACATAAAGGAAACAGGAAGATACTTCGATACAACACAACATCCACCAACCAAATCACACTTGAAGGAGAATCTTTGGAGGATGAAAAATCATTTACATATCTCGTCAGTCTCATTGATGAGCAAGGTGGATCTGATGCAGATGTGAATGCGCGGATTCAAAAGTCAGGAGCAGTATTTCTACAGTTGAAGATCATCTGGAACTCAAAACAACTATCAACAAACACGAAAGTCAGAATTTTCAATATAAAGGTCATGACAGTCCTACTGTATAGTGTGAAAACTTGGCAGATGAAAAAGCTATCATCCACACAAAAAAAGTATTTATAAACAGTTGTCTACGCAAGATACTCCGATTCCGTTGACCGGAAACACCATCAGCAGAAACCTACTGTATGAGAGTACAAAGCAGCTTGCACTTGAGGAAGAATTTAGGAAAATCTCTAGAAATGAATAGGACACATGTTGACGATAGCATCCAACTGCGTCACAAGACAAGCCATCACTTGGAATCCTCAAGACACAGAAAAAGTGAACAGAAATTGTACAGAAGTGGAAAGGGAGGCTCAGGAGAGAGTAGGTAGGAGAAAGCTGATTGGCGACCTATGTTTCACGAGGAATCACAGGCGTAAGTATACATTTTTCCACAACTTATAAAGGAATATTAAAGATTCTCATTGTGTTGTTCTAACTTACTAAAAGATTAGAAAAATCTGATCATTTGCAAACTAGGCATTAAGGTAGACAAAATAAATTACGAAAGGTTAGGTTTAAGTTACAACAATTTTGGAATAGAACAATGAAAGATCACGATTTATAGAATAAAAATAAGAACATAGCTGATCATTAGTATTTTACAAACTTCTGCTTAAGTGTAACAATGTTCTCAAAATTAACTTCCGTTGTTTATTAATGTCCCTTTTATTTCTACCTCTACATCAAAGTATAAGCAGTAGGACTACGTGACTACACAGACACACCATACCAAATTTTATTTAAGAAAATAATGTTTCCTCAAAAGGTGATCACCAAATTCACGTTTTAACTTATAGCTCCAGTAATTTTCAGTTCATAATCACGTTTACGACAATAAACACATTTCAATTCACTTATGGAACATTAAAGATTTGTTTGCATAAAGAATGTTAGTAATACGACAAATAAAGTTATGAATCTCCTACATACAACTTATACTATACTCAATAATTATATTAAAAATATATGGTAACCTATTGTTCGATTTCCATCAATAATAGGAAAATGTGCTGGTACGGGTATGAGGGCGGTTGTCACTTCCCGGCTACCCACACCGTGGAAGGTTGTTTCATGATGGACCTGAAAAGGAAGACAGATTAGTGTTGGTCTTGGAGACCTGGGAGCGTGACCGCAGAGCCCAACGGACAACTGCTTGAGGCCGGTCACGCACGGCCTTTTTATGAAGGGTTTTTCGAGCATTAACTCCGCTCTTAAAGGCCCTTAGTGGGCACCCTTACCCAAGGAGACGGAAATGCGTGAGGTAGGGTGAGGTGTGACATTTTTAGGGTCGACCTTTTCTAACCCTTCCTTCCTTGCGAGAATGCAGCATCGCTGCAGAGATGCTGGTTGTCCGATGGAAACACCTTACGGCTGTCTCACCCCTCTGCAATCAGCAGTACGACTTCGCCCTCAGACCTTGAGTAGCTGCTTTTAGTCTCATCGTCCTCCTATCGACCTGCCTGGCATGGTAGAACCTTCAGGAACATATGTTCCAGCCAATATAGCTCGGTTGGGTCATGCCGACAGGCAAGCCCGACCGCCACGTCAAGGTAGCAGGTACGGTCGGGAATAATAGGAAAGTAATTTATTTTGAAGATCCTTGAGACAATAGTGGAATGTATTCAGGGAAATAATTACTATCACTCGACTACGCCTGAAGCCCCTTTGGGTCTACTGCCCATCCCAAGCCAGAATAAAGAAAGAGGGTTGAGCGAGGGGTTAGCGATCCTGTTCCAAAGAAAACTAACTCGCTAAAAAACGGCTAACCAGAAAAATAGATAGTTTTTCTCAAAATGTTTGAAAACTGTCGAAAATGGACACTTAATATAATTACTTACACATAATTGACTCCAAATCTGCACTTTTTTTTACGATTATTCAAATTAGACAAATTAAAAAGCTTTAAACCCACCAAAAAAAAAGAAAACACTTAAACAACAAATAGAAGTGATCATTATAACTAATCAAAAACAAGATCCATAATTTTAATTCAACTTACTTCATTCAAGTTGTTAAAGTTGAAATTATTATTTTGAGTAAACAAATGATCCACTAATTCCAAATTTCCATCTATGATTGCACCAACTAATAAATGATAATTCTCCAACTAGAATAATTTCAATAAAATAAGATTAAAGATGTATGATTTATATATAAACTATTTTTAAATGATCAGTACGAAGATAAAAAAAATCTTTCTGAAGTATTTTGATCAGTCATTTATTTGGTGATAATAAATGCAGAGCATGGCATAAATGTATGTTTTGCCTAAATTGTCATACTGTCAATAGCACAACATATTATATATATATATATATATATATATATATATATATATATATATATATATATATAATGTTTACTTTTTTCTGTTTTTAACACTTGACGTTATAATGGATCTTAGTGAATGTTAGCTTTCATAATCAACTATATAGTTGCATGAATTTCTAACTTCTTATGGATTTGTATTTAAATATTTATATATATATATATATATATATATATATATATATATATATATATATTAAAGATTCCCATTGTGAAAATTAGAACAACATACATACAAGCGAACAATATTGTTGTTTTCGATTAGATCGTCATCAGGCTTTACTCACTAATATACATGAATATTTATATGAAAATGTTAAACCAATCAAGGCAATTTGAGTGATAATCACAATGAAATGAAAAAGATTACGTCACTACACACATAATAGACAAAAGTACAAGTGGATAGTAGGAAGACAGGTGTACTGATAGTAGTAAGAAAATTATAAAATATGATAGCTAAAGTTTTATAAATAATGGGTCAAACGTGGATGAATAAACTTCAAATAATCATTACAAAACATCAAAACCATTACGTAATAAGCAAATGTGTAAAAATAATAATGAAATTTAAAAAAAGTATAATGTCAATCATTAGTTAAGTCATATCCGGCCACGGAAGAGATAGGGGTGTCAGGAATTTCTTCTGAACACATAAATTGGGGTTGAATGTACGTATTCCTATGGCTTCTGTAATGTGTAGGAGACGGGATCGAACTCCGTTGGGAAATGATGGAGGTATACGATAGATCACTCAAAATGATCTAGATTTATCGACAATGTGACCACTATCTACCAGGTGTGCTAAGATAGAACTGTGGATTGTTTTTGACTGACCCTTTATCATTTTTTTCATATAAATATTCATGTATATTAGAGTAAAGCCTGATGACGATCTAATCGAAAACAATATTGCTCGCTTATGTGTTGTTCTAACATATATATATGAATTGATATTTATAATTTCAAACAGCTACTGATATTGATGTAGACATAATTTTTAACTAACTAGACTAGACAAACAGTCAAGTAATATGATAACCATAAGTGTCGCATTTTTAAATACAGAAAAACAAAAATTACATTAATTAAAAACAGTAATCAATGTCCACATTTGTCTAACTTCAGATGTTGACCGAATTCTATCAATCAATTTGATAGATTATCATTTTAAGTGACTGCATATATCCACCAAAATGGAAAGAATCAACTTTCTTAACATTAGAAATACGCTGAAAAATTCGAACACGAAACTTATATATTGAAAGTAATAGTAGAATGTTTTCGTTTAAAAAAGTACACATTTGATTACAAGGAAATGAAAATGTAGAATGTTAACATTTTCTGGTTTAAGAGTAAAGTCAGATATTACCTCAATTGTTTATTTGGATGTTGATAAAATTCAAAAATCCTTTTGATATATATTCTCACAAATTAAACTATTCAAAGTAGTATTAGAATAAACAAGTGTTTTCATCAATAACTTCTTCATTAGGGCTCTAAAGTTCTAAATCCAAAATTATCATTTTTTTTTGTCATTCAATATATTTTTCTTATCCAGCTTATTTTATCCGATACTCTTATTGATAATAATCCTTAGTTTCATTATTATTATTACTATTATTATTATTATTATCACACCAGTAACTTTTGCTTCGAATGAAAAAACGTTATCCACTTAGCCACCAAGTCCTGATGGCCACTGACTACCATTTCCAACAAGCTATTTTAAAAGTTGTGTTAACTGCTTTACACCCTTTTATCTTAATGGTTAATCTCACACAAACTAGTTGGTTGACTTATTTTGAAGTTATGTCGATCTACAACATGACTAAAACCAAGATTGTTAGAAATCATTCCAAGGATTTTAGGAGACCCCTTAGAAATGAATGTCATTTACGATCAAACACAATTCTTTCATTGCATTTTATTCAGAAAAAATGTCATTCAAGAGAAAGTAAACTCAAGAATGTCTACACAATAAATTGTGGCAACTGAGTGAAGCACTATATCTAACAAGTTTGACGCCTCTGTAACTTCGTATATGAATTAAGAATGGAAAGGCATGATTATGTACAAAGAAGTCAATAGTAGATGTTGAATATATATTTTTGTAGAAAATAGTTCATTTATAAAATATGTACACATAATCTTCAAACATCTGTTTGTAATCAAAGCAAGATATTGACCTGCTACTCTCATATCTCTTCTGATTTGCAATATACTCTAATTACGCTGTGCATCCCGGTCACCTAACCTTCTTTCGGTATCAATTTGTACGCAACGCTCCGCTGTAAACTACTTATATCACAATTTCTGAGTAGCATCTACCACAATGTCATTTATATTAGCATCAAAATTCTAATTTGAGAGGATTACAAAGACAACAAAGAAATTTTCAAATTATGGAGTTTATTTTAATCTGAAACTAACGGACACGACGATACAGAGCTAATTTATCGATTCGGAAAAAGTCATTGGATCACATTGTTCAACGTCAGCATCAAACGAGAACAGACGGCACATGAAGATAACAAAACCTATGAGACAACCAGTTGAAAACAGAGTCTATTTAAAGTAAGTGCTAATGATGCTGCCCAGAGCCATAATAAACGTTTCTTGATTGAACCATTCATTCAACTAAATTTGAAATGGTTCAAATTTTGACTGAAATTCGATTACTCTTTGTTGGCATATGGGTATTTTAATGCGGATCACTTCTATATAGCCATGATGATACAAGTTTATACAGAAAAGACAGAATGTGGCTAGCGTTGAACCCATTTTGAATTAAATTAAATCTCATACCCATTGCACAAGTGAATGGCTGTCTGAACTCAGTAGCTAAGTGTATAACACGATGGAGTTTGAAGCAATCAGTACTGGGTTCGAATCCCGTAGTTGACATCAACTTTGGGATACAGGTACATCCAGCTGACTAGTCCCGAATAGGATGAAACGCACATCCAATGCTAGCCACATCCTATCCACATCCAATGTAAATATTTATTCAACACATAGAAATCATCTCTACTAAAAATGACATCCACTGAATAAACCTACACTTGGTTAGTCATTTGTATGTTAACAACAGATATCTGGTAAACTAAAATGAATTCTATCACACACATCTCAAAAACACGATTCATATCCCATTATGAACTATATTTTATTGAATTGAACTTCAATAAATTACAATCAATTAAAAAAGATATTGTTAAATGTTCATATTGCATTTGTTAGTAAGAAAATGTACTACTTTATTGGCAGAATAAAATGCCTTTTTGTAAGGTTACTTTACTATTATTGATTTATGACTAAATAGTCTACGCACTGAAGTGATTTCATTTTTCTTCCCAATGACATTAAGACTAAAACTACGTAGAGTAAAAGTATTCACGACTGTATTTCTTCAACTATTTTGACATTTGTTTTGACAACTTCATCTTACTGTGTTGAATTGATATGACAATTTAAGCCAATGCATCTATCTATATATATATATATATATATATATATATATATATATATATATATATATATGCCAGGTTCTATGTTGCTTATGACTTGAATGGATTAACTAACTATAAATTGAACGAAACACATTCACTGTTCATCGAATTTAATAATCGTGTATATTTTAATTTCGAAATGAATAAAAATTAAGAAAAAAAATTTCTTTTTTTTTGAACACTTCAACTCACTTTATCCTCGCTGCTTCTTCCTCTAACATCACGTTTTACAGACATTTTATATTTCTGATGAATATTATGATTGTTTGATTTTAATGACTGGTGAAAATATTCATCAGCTCTTTCGTGAGAAGTCATAACTTCTTATTATTGTATGTATGTATGTATGTGTTGTTGAATTTCTTTTCAATTTTATTTATTTCGATGAATATTATTGTTGATTATTGCATGATGATAAATGTATTATCATATGTTCATTTCAACAATAATAACATCAAAACAGAAATGAAATTAAATGAATATTTCATTGTATGCAATTTACTAACTAATACATGAAGAATATGTATGATGATTTCTAGTTGACTAGTTTCGTAAGCATACATTAATTATTCATTTTAAATGACAGAAATGGTTGTATAGAATTAAAAATCAACGTGATCCTATTATTCTTTTCTTTTCTTTCATTCTGTCTGTAAATTTCAACAAAGAAATTAAACATTAATTATAGTTATATATATATATATATATATATATATTTCAAAACTATAAATAAACATATTTGGCAGAATAAGTGTTTTTTTTTTTGTTTCATTTTAATGATTAAAACAAGTTGCAAAATTCAATGAGTGAGAAGAAAACATTGAGCTGAGAAATAGTCTTATGATATTGGTTATATATTGGAATCGGTTGAAAAATTGTCTTGTAATTGATGACTACATTTATTGAACCAAATCACTATTGATGGAGATGCCTTGGAGGACGTTAACATCTTTACATATCTTGGCAATATCATTGACAACCAAAGTGGATCCGATGCAAATGTGAGGGTGCGGATCGGCAAAGCAAGAGCTGCATTTCTACAGTTGAAAAATATCTGGAACTCCAAACAACTTTCAACCAAAACCAAAATCAGGATTTTCAATACAAATGTCAAGACAGTTCTACTGTATGGAGCGCAAACTCGGAGAACTACCAAAGCCATCATCCAGAAGATATAAGTGTTTATTAACAGTTGTCTTCGCAAAATACTTCGGATTCGTTAGCCAGACATTATCATCAACAACATACTGTGGGAGAGAACAAACCAGATTCCAGTGGAGGAGGGAATCAGAAAGAAGCGGTGGAAGTGGATAGGACACACTACGAAAAGCACCAAACTGCGTTACAAGACAAGCCCTCACATGGAACCCTTAAGGCAAAAGGATAAGAGGAAGGTCAAGGAACACATTACGCTGAGAAATAGAAAAAGATATGAGAGGAATGAACAAACATTGGACAGAACTGGAGAGAGAAGCCCAGGACGGAGTTGATTGGAGAAAACTGGTGGGCAGCCTATGCTCCATTGGGGGGAACAGGCGTAAGTAAGTACAGTAATTTTATTCAAGTTTATCTGCACTGAGTCCACAAAGTTGCTTTTTTAGTCAAGTTTCTAATTCTAAGAGAAAACAAATGATTATGGATATTTTATATCACGTATAAAAGTCAATTATTATATTGTTCATATTACCAGCTAGTACAATTAGTTTCTGTCTACTGTAGGTTTTCATTTATAAGCACACCAAATAGAAATCTTTCATAAACCATATTTACATTAAATGATAAAAGCTGTACAAATTACATCAAGAATTACTTTTCTGTCCTGTTGAGGTATTCAATAATTACCATGCATTTTTAGGAGGTTGTATATGTCTTTTGAAACTATGAACCGAATGTTTTGTGCTCAAACCCCGCCGTGTGAGGTCGAGGATGAGCACTGTTGAGGAGTCCCATGCTAGGACAAGACGGCCATTCAGTGCTTCCAGCTTTTCAATGGCGGTCTAAAATAGGTCAGTTCATGGTTTCAACGAAATTCAATAATCTCCCTAACCCCTCACTGAGTTTATATTTATTCATATATATCATGCTGGGATAATAACTGTAACTAAAACGTTTTAACCACATTTTAATAAAATGGAGTTCCATTTTGTATTAAATACAGTTTCATCCTAGCTATAAACTTCATAATAACAAAATTTACAAGAGTTAAATATTTATATATTTATATATATTTAATGTCAGTCTAAAAACAAGATTTTGTAAGAAAAATCAGTTTGTAGATTGTACCTTGAAGTGTAAATAATCACATAATGTCTGGAACCAAATACTATCTATTAAGTTCGCGTTGAATTCAGTAATCTAACTGATTCATTATTGTAGTGAAATAACTTTATTATTGAATAACTAGTATTAATTGACAGGAAACCTTAAATGAGAAATGATTTCTTAATCTTTGACAGTGAATTGACCATGTCTAATCGTAAATGATAGTATGATTATCATGAACTTTATAGAATAATTTTAATAATTTATGACATTAAGCACAACTTAAGCTGTTAAAAGAATCGTCTAAATAATTATTACTGATTATTTTTTTTATGAGAAAGCTTTATTTTACAAAGAACCCGTGAAAATGAAATAACTGCTCGGAATTAGAGATGTACAGAATGTGTTTAAGATAGATTATTAGACATATTGTAAATTGAATATACATAAATAAATCATACCTATTCTTATCACTTTATTTCCATATTGTAGATATAGTAGTGAAACTTCATCAGTTGAAGTGGTTGGGACGTGTGTTACGTATGCCTAACTACCGACTGCCTCGAAGAGCTTTATTTTGTGGTGTAGGAATAGGTTGGACGAAAGCTAGGGGAGGCCAGACCAAAACATGGCACAAATCCATGAAGTCATTGACAAGTAGACTGAGTCATGTAGGTAGGTGTCGTCTACCTGGTTGGGGTCATCGAGATGTTAGGAATCGATGGTTAAAGACCCTGAATGACATGGCTCAAAACCGTTTGCAATGGCGCAGGTGCATTTATTCTTTGTGTTCTCTCAAACCCTAAACTTTTTATTTCTTCATCCCTTTATCCTTATCTTTGTAAGTCTATTTCACTAGATTCTACTTCCTGACTAATATCTTCTAATCTTAACCTAGCCGACTACTGCTAATACATTTACCACCTCTACTACAGTTGAATTTGAATTGATAATTACATCTCTGTGCTAATATGGTATGGCAAAATGAACTTATGTACGTACGTACGAAGTTCTACGTTGCTACTGATTGATCGATGGATTTCCATATTGTGATAAAATAAGAAACATGATGTCCCTATAATGTTTCAAATAATACCTGGTAAAGTTGATTACCTAAAATATGTAAGTAATTCCACCGAATTTACAGGTGTAACATAGATTATAAGTAAAGTTCTGATGAGGAAGGGAAATGCAGCGACAGACAATTTTCATATCATACCTAATCAATGGACTGCATAATCGTTTGACAGGAATAAATTATTTCATTGTCTTAGTTATTAATAGAAGTGATTTTGTATAATTGAAAATGGTAGCGACAACAATACAAAAGGTGTAGTTTGTTATATTCTGCGAATGTTTCTTTTCGCTTCTTTTTTGGTTTCGTTTGATAAAATCAAAAGTCTAATAACTAAAGTAAATAATCTGAATAAATGTATTGACATTTCTTTGATAAAGTATGATATGAGAGTAAGAAGCTAATGGGAATCGAGGAAACCACTGTCTAGTTTTTATGCAAAATATAGAAATGAATGATTTTGATCTTGGTTGAAGTGAACATCACGAAATCCTAAATTTTCGTTCATTTTGCCGATCATTTATCGGCTAATTACTAAATATGAAAATGTAATTGTCAAACCCAAAGTTTCACTACACCTGAGTTTTTCATTTAGCATGTTAGGATTTGCTACCCTGTAATAATATTCATAGCAGACACATATAGATAACTTTTATTGCAATTATTTTTTCATGATAGCATAAAAATGAAATGTTAGACGTAACAAATACCCATATTTTCATATTTACACTTCAATGTTTATGTTTCGACCCACTGTGTTTATAGGATACAACCATAGAAACCAATTGATTAGTAATTAACTGAATGGTAAATGGTGAGATAGGAATCCTAAAATATGTATTCATTTATACAAAAATGTGGAGACAACAATGGTTCTACCATAACTCTTCAGAAAATGTATTAATAAATTTTTTGTAAGTGATGACAAATTTACAATTAAAAACTATTTACAGCTTTCAGAAAGAAACTCTTTGGTGTGAAGAAATTCGCATGCAGATTAATTCAATTGCATAGCAACATTTGTACAACTACAAGATCAGGACTCTGATAATAAACTGTGGAAAATTACTAAACTCCTTAAACCCACTAAACTCTAATATAATTCATTAGTCCTATTGCGAAATAACTTAAATTTACACAGACCATACCTTTATTCATTAAAAGGTAGCTTCAGAATAAAGCGACCACTTAAAGAATCGTTCAAGCTCGTTTTAATACTATATGCTTTTACGATTTCATCTATCGTTAATGAAGTTTCATTCTGATTCATTTTAAATTGCATGAAATTTTTTTTTTAAAAAAACTAGTAAAATTAGTTTATATAACAAAGAAAGTAACTTCGAAACTTTGTTTACTTAAAACAATGTAGGCTTAGACTATTTATTGTTATTATTAATCACGGAAGACATAGTAATGAAACAAATCATATATATATATATATATATATATATATATATATATATATATATATATATATATATATATATTATATATATCAAACAAAACATCAAAATTTACTTTAAATTCTAGGTCAGGTTAATAGGAACTTATAAAAAAACAAGGAGGATAAACACAAAAGGAAAATGTTGTTCTCTGTGTCAACTGCTTGAAAACGTTATCCATTCTTTTTTGTATACAAAATTAAGATCAATATCATCAATATAGCATTACTACAAGTATAAATCTAAATAAAGTTGTATGATTCTCAGTGAAACAGTGAGAAAATAAAAATGCTTATAAATTACCTCTATGTACTACCATAAAAACCTTTTTCAGATCAACTGTTTGACTTATTTCTAACATCTATTTAGCGATAAATAAAAATGAATTATTAATCATTGGTTATTATCAAAAAGTCAAAATTTATTTGTTTCTCAGATATTTACATAGATAACCAACCAACTTTGTTTACATTAGCACGACTGCTCTTTTGTTAGGAAATCCCAAAAGTATATGTAAATCGATACGTGTAGTGAAATGAGTCCTAATCATTCATAGTCTGGTCACAGTTTTTCTGAAATACGGATTACGTTCTTGATCATAAGGACCTTGGCTGTATATGCATAAACTTTCACTTTAATCTAGAGCTGTTCGAATTATCTCTAAATTATAGGATGATGGGGACAT